TATATATTAAAGCCTATTGGATCTCACACCAAAATATATCGTGATAATATCTATTTGGTGTGGCTCTATAGCCTCGTTTTTAAGGTAGTTTTGGTGAGGCCGCGCGCGTACTTTGTGGTCGCGCGCACTTTGTGGTGGGGCTAGTTAGTGCATGCCGTGGACTAATTTCAAGCTAGTACAACTTAAAAAAGATGCTAATGTTTTGATTTGGAACAGACTACCAACTCAGCAGAGCTGATAGGTTGTACAAAACACGGCCGTGTAGTATTGTAATAGGCTAGATGCGTAATAAGATCCTAGTAACTACAAGAGCAGAGAGGGTGGTGTTAGTGGTGGTTGATGGGGCAGATCGGTATCGGTATCGGCATCGCCCTCGATTACGTGCCGAGCATGACATCACATCTCTCAGCCTATGTCGCAATACCCTTTCCACATTCAACTCGAACAACGCAAATCATGGCAAGCAGGATTCCGTCGTCGTTGCCACAGCATCAGCTGCATATTCGCAGTATATCTGCCCGAGCTCTCTCTGTTGCTATCCGCCATCACTCAATTCCTCATTCCTCTACACCTAATCTTACTACACAAGCACCTTAATCGCACCTTAATCTTTACTTCAACCCACAGCAAAAGCTCAACATGACTGGTCTTGGCGAAACCGTCCGCAAGGGTGTAAACATGGTGCATGTAAGTGCCTTGATCCAACCCTTTGCACATCTCTAAGCAGACAATGCTCGTCTGCGTATATACCGGAGTAGTAACTAACTGTTGCAGGGCACTGGTGAAGCCATCCGCGGCAGCGCATTGTCTGAAGTCGACAAAGCGAGCGGCGACACAGCGAGCGCAGCCAAGAACCAAGAGATTGCCAACAAGGGAGTGAGCGAATGGGACAGCGGCTACCGTGGTCATCCTACCAGTGCCCATCCTACCAACAACACGTCTACCAACTATGGTTCGCACGGCTCCAACATTGGCAACAAGCTTGACCCTCGCTTCGATTCGGACACAGACCACCGGGGAACAGTGACGGATTCGACCAACGCCGGCCCCCATTCGACCAACGTTGGAAACAAGCTGGATCCCCGCTTTGACTCGGATACAGACCACCGCGCTGATCCTACGTCTGCAGTTGGTGGTACGGGCTACGATGCACGTAGATAGACGAACAGCCTCAACTTGATATCAATATACCCTTTTCTTCGTACCAATTCAGCTTCCGTTCATTGCTGACGTCACAGCTCGTTTGCACACCTCTCTTCCTCCTCGGCAGACTGATGGCACCAGTGAGTTGAGATGCATGCGATAAACAACTTGATATTGAGGCTAGCCATTCGGAAGCGGTTTGATATGTATACACTGATTGTGAGCTGACAATCTGTAGACGAAAAAGACCCTGCCTGGAACCCTTCGCGAGATCTCGATGATACCTGGTACTCGGCACAAGAACACCAACACGGCCCAAATCCGCCTCATGAGCATCGTGGCTCGATAGGCGCTTCGTCTGGACTTGAGGCAGCTAACAAACTGGACCCCGTATTTCCCGTAGGACCTGACGCAGAGTCGATGAAGTATACAGACCATTCAACAATTCACCGTCTCCGTGGCTCAATAAGCGGTGGCTCAGATCTTGAGGCTGCCCAGAAGCTCGATCCTCCTAGCTTATCTGGACGTGTTGATGAGGTCTTAACTCGTGGTCCAGGCTATGATCAGCCTGATCCATCCTACTACCATCCAAAGCCCATGCACCAAAGCAGTCTTCTGAACATGCTCGATCCAGAAATCGAAATTCACCAACCTCAGTCATCAAGCCGTGCGTCCATTGAAACGACATCGCAGTACAGCGATGACCATGGAAAGGAACTACATCAAGGAGCTGACCAACAGGGCCCGGATTCTGAAACAGAGCCAGAACGCCAGCCGCGCCGGCGAAGTCGTAAGTTGTCGAAATGGAAAAGCTTTGTCTTGGATTCCAGTATGCCTATTACCAGACCTAAAGCTGCCCCGAATTCTTGTGGCTCTGAGTGCGCTGCTTGCTGACAGATGTGATATGTAGAGCCCAATGTCCATTTTGCTGCACACAGCGTACAGCCAAGATCGGCGTCGAATCCCCACAAGAGCGACTTGCTGAATATGCTGGATCCAAGGGTTGATAGCAGCGCGTTGAGGGAGTTGAGGAAGAATGAGCCTAGCTGATGATCTTGACGTGGGCCTCTGTGTCTTGACAAGGTCTCATCTTGAGCATGCATTCTGCAACCCCCCGTATCCTAGAAATCAATAAACATCCTGCTTGATGAATTTATTGCCTTGGATTGACAGAGGGGCGCTTGCAAATTACATCTACAGCTGATAGTACTCCCAAACTGTCTTAGCACGTGCAGGCACTACGTCATTTCTGCGCACGATACCCGCAAACCTCCCCACCAAAAATCATGCCGCTACCAGGAAACCTCTAAAACCAAGACGCCAAAAGCTACAGCAAAAAAAGGCAAAAAGAATGCAAAAAACGACACCAGTGGGACTCGAACCCACAATCTTTGCCACCGGAAAGCAACGCCTTACCATTAGGCCATGGTGCCTGCTCTTTCACTGAAGAATGGAGAATTCAAAGGTTGAATGTAATATGTAGCACATGGTATGGAAGCCAGTGGCTGCGACAGGGGCTTTATCCGATACCCGAGCTTGCCAAACAACACCACCAGGCAAGAGCTCCCCATGCTCAACCCACAAACCCCTCACAGCCTAATCGGGTCAATCCTTTCCCACTTCGTATCAGGCGACTCGCTAACTGCTCAAGCGCCCGCCATGCTGTCGGCAAGAGCATCGCGATTCGCATCAACAGCCAATGTCACTCGGTTTGCATCGCGACATGTGACGTCGTCTCAGGTATGTTTGCGCAGAGACCCGAGCATTTGGCAGTATTGACCGCGCTCTCAGCATTTTACGCGCTTCAATTCTTCGACAGCAAGCAGCAGTGAAGAGCAAGGCAACGGTCAAGAACAAGGCAGCAGGGCGCCGCCAATCAGGAAATATGCAAGCAAAGAACCCAACGAGCTCGAAATAGAGGAAGTGCTGCGCCAAGAAAAGAAGCCCGACTATCTCCTCCAAAGCGTTGCGCGCAGCCTGAGAGAACTAGAGGTGCGCGACAATCTGTACATGCCGTACAGAGTGCGCAGACAAGCGTACCCTGTCCCATTGTCAAATAACCCAGTACATGTGAAAAACGCGCACGTCCATGTCGGCAAAAAGAAGATTCCCAGTCTCTGGCTAAGGGATAACTGCCAGTGCGCCGCTTGCATGCATGATGCGACCAAGCAGCGCTTGATTGATACGTTCGCTATTCCCAGGGACATTGCGGTGCAAACGTATTCGTTTGAGGGGGTCGAAGATAGCGAGAGTCATGCGTTGTGGGTGCAATGGACAGATGGGCATTGCAGCAAGTATCCGATACGCTTCTTCAGGGAGGCATTGAAGAAAGAGGGAACCAAGGCCATTCAGCGGATAGGTCTGACGGAGCTCGCACTCTGGGGCAAGTCGGTTGTACACGAGCCGGCTCCATCAGTGCAGTACGGCGATGTCATGAAGGGAGAAATGAAGCAGATGTTGCAGCACCTGCGCAAATACGGATTCTGCTACGTCGACGGGACGCCTTTCGAGGACCCAAACGACACAAAGGTGCTGCTGGAGAAGATTGCTTTTATCCGCGAAACGCATTACGGCGGCTTCTACGACTTCACGGCCGACCTCGCAAGCAAGGATACGGCGTATACGAATATTGCGCTCGAGGCACACACAGACAATACGTACTTTTCTGATCCCGCAGGCCTGCAGGCCCTGCACCTCCTCTCACATACCGAGGGCTTGGGCGGCGCCAGTCTGCTCGTCGATGGCTTCACCGTTGCCCGCAAGCTCTGGAACAAAGACCGCAAAGCCTACAATATCCTGTCGACTGTGAATGTGTACGGACATGCCTCGGGCAACGAGGGCATATCAATTCAGCCGTATCGCGGCTTTCCCGTGCTCGAACACGATGATGCAACGGGCGATCTCCTGCGCGTACGCTGGAACTCTTCGGACCGCGCGTCAATCCAACTCCCCGTCGAGCACGTCGAGATTTGGTATGATGCGGCGCGCCAGTTTGATTCGCTGCTGAAGAAAGAGGAAAACGAGTACTGGGAACAGCTAAAACCAGGTCGCGTCTTGATCTTCGACAACTGGAGAGTGCTGCATGGACGCAGCAGTTTTACGGGTAAGCGGAGAATCTGCGGGGCGTACCTCCATAGGGATGACTGGATTAGCAAGTTCAAGATGGCCGAGTTTGGGCAAGAAGCCATTTTGAAGGGACTGGCTGTAAACTAAAAACATAAAATAAAACCGCCGTATGAGCAAAGGTCAAAAAAGAAGAAACATGTTGATACACTCTGACTTGGCTTGTTTTAACCTATGTACAGCCATGTGACTAGAACAAAAATACGCTCTTCCTTTGGTCTCGGGTTTGGGGGCAGCTTTTTTTTCTATCGGCCTTCCCTAGCGAGTCTCTCCTGCTCCAGCTCCAACTCAGCCTGGCGGTAGTACTTTGCGGTATCGATGCCGTGGTACGGGTGGTGAACCAAGTTTGGCCATGGAATGACGTGGGAAAATGTAGCGGCGTAGCGCGAGTTTCGGTGAGCAACTCCCTGCAAGTACTCTGACATTTCGGATTTCCCATATAGCGGCTCGCCCTTTTTGACCTTGTCCACCATCTCGCGCATATCCATGTCTACCTCGCGCCGGTTCTCGCGCGCGCCATAGAAACGCACTGCCCGTCCGTGTTAGTCAATTATTCGTTTGCAAATAAGCCTCCTCCCCAAGTGTGCCGGCCCCCAAACGTCCCAGGAAACTTACTGCATGACCTCGAGTAGGCAAACATGAAGCAGCCAGTCACACCAACGGCGCCGCTGAGCCGCATGATGGGCGCAAATCCGCCCTTGCCCACCATCGACGGTGACATCTTTTCCCAGTACAGCATCAGACCCGGGCTTAGGGCTCCGAGGGCCGCGCCGTACGCCCAATCCGACGGGCGCGCGTACCGAATTACGCGGGAAATGTGGCTTTTGTGCTAGAATCAGTGCTCCGGTTTCGAATTTGTGTGGTGCAGAGAGAGAGGGAGAGCGAAGAGAGCGAAGAGAGAGCGACATACGGGTCATTGTCGATGAGCTGTGTGCAATTAGCAGTGGGCGGCGGTTGCAAACCAGCAATTGACTCACAGGGTACTCTCCCGTGGGCAGCTTATCCGGCACAACGGCCTGGTGCCTGACTGCGGAGTCGGCGGCGGAAGACATGGTTGCGTTGTTGGGGGGGTGTTTGTCGCAATTGCGGAGCGGGATAGCCCAGATGTTGGGGTGCGAGTGAGGTTGGTACTGGGGCTTGGCATTGCGGGCCGGAGACGTTGCTGCGTTCGGACTGGCCAATCGTGGGGCCCTGAGATGCTGGATACTACGCACGCGGTGGCGTGCAACGTCGGGGTTTGATGGATTAGGATACTGGGAGTTGAGTACATTCGATATTGGTATTGGTGATGGTATGGATTGGGGCAGAGAAGAGAAGGTTTGGATAATTATACTTATCGACAGAGTTGCCGGGTCTGCTGGCTGCGTTCCATTGAAGTGGTATATTCCTATTGCAATACTGACTTTCAACTACCATTTCTTCGTCAATTCTACAGTCAGATAGCAGGCTGTTCTTTTGGGCAGGCTCTAACTAGAGAGTACTTGATTCGTGGCTATCTTGATGGACTTGGCAGACGACATGGCTTGCTTTTTAGAGCAGAATTGATGCGAATATTTGCTTAACAGTTTGCTGATATGGAATCCGGCTAAAAAATAACTCGAATAACTGCACATGTCTCATATTGGACTGGATTTGATTGACCAGGCCGATTGGAATGCAACCTACCATCTTAAGTGACGTATACTCCCGAGCTTCTCAAGGTTGGCTTGTTCTTACAACACGTGAGGTTACCAAATATCCTGCACCCAAAGCTGTGAACCAAATCTGATAGATAACATGGCTATTGCATTTCGTAGGGTTCTCTGTAAAGAATGGTCATCGTGTTGAATGTTCGTCTAGTACCATACAGGCTCGTGTAAGTAGTATGCCCTACCGCTTGTAGTTCCGCCACATCAATGTAAAACCAATCAAAATATTCAAGCAATAACCTACCAAGCATCCTAGAAGATGACGATGAGAAGTTCAACTTGTATCAAGTCTACATAAATCACAGAGGTAGTGGTGGGGCGCATTAGCCCGGCGGCCAGGGTAGGCGGCTAGCTCAGGCGCTGGAGCTTCTGCAACGCCATCGCTCCAGAAACTTTAGTTCTTGGCGCGTCACGACCCATCCCAGACTCTTGTGCATCAACAATGCGCGTGCAGCCCTCGACGTGCGACCAACACCACTCTCCATCGCCGACCGAGCCATGAACGCCGAGCACATGGAGGACGTCAAGCCGACGGGCTTGCCCCCGTCCAATGCCCCTGACGGCGCGTCGCCTGCACATGCGCCCGACTCGTCGAGCCTACACGCCCGCCCAACCGTCGCCGACCTGCACGGCGAGAACCACTTCGCGCAGGTAGCGAGGAAGAATTGGCTGGCCGCGAAAAAGACGCCCAAGGTACGCCCCGACGTGGTCAAGAAGGACCTGTGGGACCATCTCGAAACGGCCCATTTCGCACACTCGTCGCTCTTGATCCTCGAGAACCTGCAGCTGCTCGAGCGATATCTGTGGCCGGGCTTCACAGAGGATGCCTCCAACTACCACCACCTGCTGCTGGCGCTCATGGTAAATGTCAAGCGGAGGGAGAACCTGTCGTCGTGGGGTATGTTGCGCCGCCGCTGCTGCTGGTCGACGAGAAGAGTGCGCTGACCTTTGTACAGAACATTTTTCCAGCAACCCGGCCGGATTCTCGTCCTTTTTCCGCCGCATCCTCTCCATGACGGTGGACCCTTCGCAGCCCAGCAAGATCCGGACACAGCTCATATCCTTTGTCATTGGCGCCTTTCAGTCGCTCGACAGCGGCTTGGTGCGAAAAGAGTGCGCCCCTCTGGTCGGCATATCAATATGGCAGAACCTGCACTCGGAAGCGGTGCGCGAGCAGTACTTTGAGGAACACAGCATGTTGCGCAAGGCTTGGAGGGCCGCATCCAAGCGCTACGACGCTGGAGATGATGCGCTGCAGGCTCGGCTACGGTTCGAGAGGTCGTGGCTCTACACACTCCTTCTCGACTTCATCGACCGGCTATACAACAATAGCAGCAGAGAGGACATGGCCTACTGCGAGCGCTTCATGGAGCTCCTCATAGACCTGCAGAGCCAGCTGCCCACCAGGAGATATGTCAACACACTACTGAAGGACCTGAACATGCTCCCAGCCGTGCGCTTGTCGCCCATGTACGCCGACGAGGACAACGGCCTCTTCCGCGATCTGTTCGACTTGCTCAGCCACTTCACCAACTTCCCCATCGAGGACCAGACTGGCAGGCAATTATCAAAGCTGGAGTACGACCAGCAGCACTACGACCTTTTGTCCAAGCTACAACGAACAGGCTACGCTGCATTCCAAGAGAAGCTCCAGCTCATGGCGCTGGCAAACTACAAGAGCATCGGAAACAGGGAGGAGCTGGACGGACACCTGCGTACATTGAGCGATAGTGAGCTGGTTGAGCTTTGCTCTCCCCTGGGTCTGCGAACCGAGTACCCTGCCACCACCAACCTGGTGCGCGACCGGGCCTTTTACATGGAGACCTTGACAGCGCTTGTCGAACAGCGCCCTACTTTCAAAGACATGGTCCGCGATATGCCTGTCCTACCTACTGAGAAGATTCTCTACGAGAGTGCGTTTTTGCGGAACGAGTCTTACGACGGGTCAAGACCCCTTGCCATTCCAAAGCTCAATCTTCAGTATCTGACCATGGGCGACTTTTTATGGAGGTCATTTATCCTATACCGCGCCGAGTCGTTCTATGGCATTCGGAAAGACATGGAGGACGTAGTAAAGCGCGTAAAGCCCAAAGGCAGAGGTGCCAGCACCAAATTTGGCGGGGTGTCTAAAATGTCACTGCCCATCATGAAGCCTGCCATCGTAGACGTGGCACCGTCAAGGGTTGGAGAGGAGCACCCCGCATATGTTCGAGCAGAGATTATACTTGATGTCAGCCGGCTTCAGCTTCCAGTTCGACGGGATTGGGAACAACTTCGGCCAGACGACGTAGTCTTTCTCCTTGCTGTCGAGGGCAAAGACGACGTGCCCATGCGAAACGGCCACCATGGAGATGCCGCCACCGGAGAAGAGCTCGGTCTGCAGCGGATGAGATGTGCCCAGGTAGTCCAAGTTCTAGACGACAAGGGACGACCTTTGCGAGACCAGGCGCGTGACGATGGCTTTGGGCCGAGGGCACGGCAGCGGCGGCTCCTTGTCAACATTGACGCGAAGCAATACCAGATCGACATGGACCAGACTGCCAAAGGGGCACCCGACGTCTACGAGCAAATCAACCTCATCGTCCGCAGGAGAGGACGGGAGAACAACTTCCTCCCCATTCTCGAGTCAATCAAGCGCCTGACACTTTCTGACATCCCGGCACCATCCTGGCTTCAGGAGGTCTTCCTAGGCTACGGGGATCCTGCATCTGCAACGTACAAACGACTCCCTACCCGATTGAACAAGATCGACTTTCGTGATACCTTTTTGGACTGGGAGCACCTGATTCAGTCCTTTCCCGGCAAGTCCATTGAACCCCATGAAGAGGCGCAGACATCCTTCGGACCTCCATACGTTTTGGAATTTTCTGTTACCGCGGAACCCGAGGTTGCACCACCACGAGCATCGAAAAAGCGGCGTCGCGACCAGGTTGAGGCTGCGCGGCCTGTGCAGGAGTCCATTCACATATCCTCGTACAAGCCACCAAACATGGGCCCCTACCCTGCAGATGCACCAAAGCTGAACAGGGTCCGCTTCACACCTGCACAGGTCGATGCAATCACTTCGGGAACCCAGCCGGGGTTAACAGTGGTGCTCGGACCCCCAGGCACCGGCAAGACGGACGTGGCGACCCAGATTATATCCAATTTATATCACAACTTTCCGGATCAGCGGACCTTGCTTATTGCGCATAGCAACCAGGCGCTTAACCAGCTATTCCAGAAGATTGTGGCGCTTGACATTGATGAGCGCCATCTTTTACGATTAGGTCATGGTGAAGAGGATCTCGAGACGGATGCTAGCTACAGCAAGCACGGCAGAGTAGAGTCATTCCTTGAGAGAGGACAGTACTACTTGTCAGAGGTCGATCGCCTTGCCAAGAACTTTGGTGCGCCTGGTGCCCATGGGAGCTCATGCGAGACTGCTGATTACTTCAACCTTGTCTATGTGAAGCCAGCGTGGACGCAATACTGGGATAGTATCACGTCTGAAGATACAAGTGTTGATCAAATCATCACCGAGTTTCCATTCAAAGACTACTTTTCAAATGCGCCACAGCCTCTGTTCCCTTCCGCGGCAGACCGCGAAGAGATTCTTGACATTGCGCAAGGCTGCTATCGCCATGTGCAGAAGATCTTTGCAGAGCTCGAGGACATTCGTCCGTTTGAGCTTTTGCGAAACCCGCGAGACAAGGCAAACTACCTGCTCGTCAAGGAGGCCCGCATCATCGCAATGACATCGACACATGCGGCCATGCGAAGACAAGAAATTGCATCGCTAGGCTTCCATTACGACAACGTCATCATGGAAGAAGCTGCTCAAATCACCGAGATTGAGAACTTCATCCCGCTTGCACTGCAGAATCCGCAGAACAGCGAACTTCCCTTACAACGCATCGTCCTCTGCGGTGACCACCTCCAGAACTCGCCCGTCATCCAGAACCTTGCATTCCGCCAGTATGCCAACCTGGAACAATCGCTCTTCCAACGGCTTGTCCGCCTGGGTGTACCGACCATCATGCTCGACCAGCAAGGTCGTGCACGCCCGTCCATTGCCGAGCTCTACAAATGGCGGTACCCGTCGCTCTCCAATCTGCCGTCTGTCATGTCGAACCCTGAATTCCAACTCGCCAACCCGGGCTTCAAGCACGAGTACCAATTCATCGATGTGCAGGACTACAAGGGTAAAGGAGAAGAGCAGCCTACGCCTCACTGGATGATCAATCTGGGTGAAGCCGAGTACGCAGTCGCCTTGTACATGTACATGCGACTTCTTGGATACCCAGCCAACAAGATCTCTATTCTGACCACGTACGCTGGGCAGAAGAGCTTGATCAATGACGTCCTAGGCCACAAGTGTAAGAACAACCCGCTATTCGGGCGCCCAAGGATAGTAGCTACCGTGGACAAGTACCAGGGCGAGCAGAACGACTGTAAGTTTCCCCCCTTTTCTCTTCTCCCACCCACCACCAGCATCACTAACACCACCCCAGACATCATCCTCTCGCTTGTCCGCACCCGCTCAATAGGCTACCTGCGCTCCATCCGGCGTCTCACGGTAGCGCTGTCCCGCGCACGCCTCGGCCTCTACATCCTGGGCCGGCGCTCCGTCTTCGAATCCGTCTTCGAGCTCAAACCCGCCTTTGACATTCTACTCCAGCGCCCGGACAAACTGCACCTCGTCACGGACGAACTGTTCCCCCACACCCAGCGCACAATCGCCGACTCGCAGCCCACCGCCGACCCCGTCCCCGGCGAAGCCGAAATGCACGACGTAGAACACCTCGGCAAATACGTGTATGAAATGACCAAAGCGAAAATCGAGGCTCTCAAGGCAAATGCCGGTGTCTTGCCGCTTGCATCGCACCAGCAGAGTAACGGACTGGAAGCGGATGCCGGTGTGAATGGCGCGAATAAGAACATGGATCTTGTTAATGCGCCTGAAGACGACGCCGACGACGACGACGACGACGATGCCGACGACGATAGGCCTGAGAACGTGCTTATCCCCGAGGAAGCGGCTGATGCATTTGATGCTCAGGCTCGGGATGATGATGACGCTGAGGAGTAGACACTATTATTTGTTTGATCGAGCCATCGACTCTCTATATGTCTGTGCGTGTCTAAACCATTGTGTGCACACGGGGATTGGTATATACTATACTATACTATACTACAGGCATTTGTATAGGCGTCTGTATAGGTGTCTGTATGTGTGAGTGTGGACGGTGTAAGTGTTTTTGTTCCAAAGTCTAGATAGAAAAAACCTATGAATTGTGGGGGCGTGGTTGGGGCGCGTCGGAGCATATGTGTACTCTCTCTCTTTCTCTCTCTTTTCTTTTACTGGTTTTTTCATTTTTGCATGCATCAGAATGGCGTAAAGAAATGGGGGGTTTTATCTCTCTTTTTTTTGCTTTGATTAATATGATCCAACACGAATGGCTTCTACTATGCTTCACTCTGTCTCTATTTACTCTCGCGTGGAGACTTGGTCTTCTTGGCCATGGAACAAGAAGTTGTCTTTGCAGGATGCCGAGATACTTACGCCGTGCTACTTGTTTCTAGTTTGAACTCTGTGTGTGTGTATGTGTATGTACGACTAAGTAGTGCTACAGCTACAAATGGCTACTCTAAGTAGTTCCCACCCCCCAGGAAGAAAGAATAAGATTGAAGAAACGCCTGCATGACCATGATACTGCTTCATCTATGTACATATAGAAACATGCCACCCATCCAAAAGGAAAAGAAAAACGTACATTCAAATTACAACACTACCTCGCCCTCGCACTCTCTCTATTCTCCTTCTTCTTGCGCAAATAGGCGCTAATCTGCTCGACATGGCTCACGAAAAAACACCGATTGGCATCGTTCTGCCAGACGAGGACGCCCAGCGCACTAGCATAGCCGAGGACATCTCTGTACTCGGCATCGGAATTGAATTCACGCATGAGGTAACCGGTTGTGGTTTCCACGCGCTCGCCCTCGTATTCCCAGAGACGGATCTGGTCCATGACGGTAGGCGGGATGTAAGGGACGGTTTTCTGCATCTGGGGGTGGGCGTACGTCGTGAGGTAGGAGATGATTTGGGCCGAGGTGATGCCTGCTTGGACGGCTTTGTGGACGGATTCCTTTGTGAGTTTTCCCGAGACGAGGTTGGGGAAGCGGTGTTGGAGTTTTGTGAAGAGGGAGAGGATGGCGATTTGGATGAGGCTGTTTGTGTAGGCGTAGAGGCGGTAGTTTGTTTCGATGATGATGAAGCCTTTGTTTGCGGCTGTGGGAGGGCCGACGGAGTTGGGTTTGGCTTGCGCAATGTCGTTGGATGAGGCTGACATGGCGCTGCCAGAGTCCGATGTGAGGGTTGTGGCTAGGCGTGTGGGGTAAAAGGTGCGGGCATTCCTGTCGGAGCGGTAGACAAGGCCCATTGCGGAGAGATCCTCGAGCATTTGGAGTTGGGTGGCCGAGAGCGTGGAAGTGGAATAGTCTTGGCCCAGTTCAAGCGAGCCAAGCATGAAGAGGAAGGAGAGGACTTCTGTTTCTGACATGCCGAGCTTGGTGGTGTTAGCATCTCCTTTGACAGGCTCAGTTGATATACATACCTCGTTCGTCATCTTCAGATAGACAATCAGCAGACTCCAGACCTGCGCATTCGTCTCCTGCAGTACAAACGAGAAGCCATCCTTTGTGATTCTCGGGCTGCCATGGATGGTGCGCACCAAATCTCCCGTATGCAGCAGCTTCTTGGTACCGGGGCCCACCTCCGCTCTGGAAATGCTGTCTTTGCTGAGGCCAGCCGCACCACTGACAAGATAGTACAAGATGCCCTCCCACTGCGCCCTCGAGTATTCATCCAGGAACTCTATGCTGACTCGCTTTCCACTCTCTTCTTTGGTTGCGGGCACGCCAAACGAGCGGTGGGTGCCTGATCCTTCGATGGCGTTCCGCAGGCTGCGCTGGAAGCCTTGATTCAGTGTCCACGACAGCGTGCCGTCGTCTTGTCGGGCCGAGGAGACGATGTGCAGACGGTCCAGGGTGAAGGTCGCCTGCTCTTTCTCCTTGCGCGCAGCAGGCTTGAACCAGGCGTCGAGGTCGGCGGCGGGGAACGACGTGGGCATGTACAGCATAGCCATGACTATCGACTTGGCTGCGATTGTTGTTAGCTAAGCACATACAACGAGAATGGTCGCTGCGTACCAAGATGCGGCAGCATGCAGCGGAAGACGGCGAGGACCGTCGAGGGCTGTTCATACAGCTTCTTGTGCGTGGCCAGCGGCAGACCCTCGAGGTATTCGAGCGCCTGGGCCGAAGACGAGGTCGACATGGTGGAGGGAAGTGGTGGACAAGGTACCGCCGTTTTACCGGGGTGTTACCATATTCGAATCGCAAGACTGCAGCGAGCGTGTGCGAAGGACGCGTGTGTCGCGCCGTCTTCAGCGGGTGACAGGGCGAAGGTGAGTTGCAAGACTGCGAGGAAGGAAAGTCGAGGTGACGCGCCGAGAGAGCGGAAACATGATCCCCCACAATTCCGCCCCACCCCTGTCTAGCTGCCGACGTCAAACTGCCGGGGCGGGACCAACGACATGTCTCCTTCGCACGGCGACAGGCGGGCATTGCAACCATGTCGGCGCTCAAGTTTGTGAGATCAGTGAGTATAGCGGTGGAAACTGGAGCCGTGACAAGGCCATTGACCAGCATCAAAGGTCTGGGAATCGTTCCGCGCCAACTCAGGCCTGGAGCCAAGGTACATCCCACGTGAAGACAGCAACTTGACAAGTTTGATCTGACTACTCCAAGGCTTCTGGACGGTGTAGGTTTCCTCTTGCGCGGAATCGTGTTGAATATAGCAACTCACTCAATTCCCCGAGTAGCTTCGAGTGACCTCGGCTGTCCCGGGTCGCGTCAAGTTTGAGCTGGATATACAAAAGGAGCATACGGTAGGTATCATGTCTCTGCACTTTGATTTCTCTAATCGCATGACTGTAGAACCGGCTCAATATCTTACATGGCGGAACAATCGCCAGCATGGGTACATTCCTTCTCCCCACTGCACTCATTCTCTCTAACAAATTTTAGTCGACCTCGGTGGTTCCCTAGCCGTAGCATCCCGCGGCCTCTTTGCCACAGGAGTCTCCACAGACCTCAATGTCACCTATCTCTCCTCTGGTGGCAAGATTGGAGACTTGGTCAAGGCCGAAGTATCATGTGACAAATGTATGCCCTTTGCCATCCATTCAAGTCCAACGTCTCACTGATGGTCACAGTCGGTAAAACCTTGGCCTATACTTCAATCAGTTTCAGCAACAGCAAAGGCGAGATCTTTGCCCGGGGAAGCCATACCAAGTATGTCGCCTTGGCTTGGAAGGATCCAAACAACATTGTTGAAGAGCTGTCACCTAAGCCAGATGAGAAGAAGGAGTAGATGTACCGTTTTTTTAAGACTTATTAAGATTACATTATGCCGAGTCACATGCTATGGATACACGCTTCCCTCTTATTCACTGAAGCGCCCTTTGCCCCCATCCTCCCATATCAGCACTCATTGCAGCAACTGGAGAGTCGAAACCTCAAGCCCACAAAGCGCATAGCAATGAATACACCTAACCCTCATTGCCAAGTTGATTGCTACACCCCACTTTGAGAAATCCACATTGCCTTGCATCAATCCTTGTGTGTTGTCGCCTTATTGCTGTCTCGTTGATCATCCAGAGTGGAACCGTCGTTTACTCTTTACGTCTTCGTCGAACACCACCGCATCTACGAGTTATCCGAACATATCTCTTGGTTCTGCTCAGACGTCTCGTTTTGTTTCGTCTCATCAGACTTGTTTCGTCCTTTGACCTTGACAAGATTGGCGAAGCTACTCTTGCGCGGCGTCAGTTTCCTGATAGCTCGTCCAAAGGCACCACCTCCCATGCCTAAAGCATTGGTGCCGTCTCCTTGCTTGAGACCGGTCTTTGGCGAGAGATCAGATGGGCTGCTAAGCAGCTTGTGATCCTTCCGGTACTTGTATTCGAATTCCTACGCTCAATCAATTAGCAGAATACTGACAGAAAAGACGCATTGCATACCCAGAGACTATCTATTGCCTGATCAGTAGTGCATAGATCACGCAGCTGCGCAAATATGTAACATATCGCAAGCTTCTCTTGGTCAAGCTTATACTCGCTCAATTGAGTCGACACTTCATGGTCCGTATGCATCTTCAGCTCCGCATTCATCGCCTCAGTACGCCATTGATCGTATCGCGACTGGAATCGACCAGCCCAATACAGCGGTGGCATATAGTCCTTGACCTGAAAAACACTCATGTCAGCATCTTCTGCTACTTCTTGCTCTTGCATATCCCCTGAAGGCTCCGATGGCGTTTCATATAAAGAGCCCATCATTTCACCTAGTTCAGGGGACGCTATTCGAGGACTAGCCATCTTTGGCACCGAAGGGAATGCTGCAAGGCTAATAGTTGACTCGGTCTGCGTCTCGCATGGCGAAGGAATCTGGCAGGCCTGGGCGAGAACCTTGGTGTCATTGTGACTCGCTCCTTCATCAGTCTCTTCAGAACCGGACTGGCAAGAGGTTGCATCTGATACAACCCTGCCAGGGCGAGGCGTAGTGGGCATGCCTGAATCCATACGTGGTCGCGGCGTCTGGTCCGGCAGAGGCGATTTTCTAGTCTGGATTGGTGGGAGAAGCACTGGCGGCGCGGCCTCCAACTTGGATCCAAAGTTGTGGAGGGAGTTATAGCGCGGGAGTTTGCTCACCTCGTGAGTTGCCACTGCCAGCGCGGGAGACGGCCGCCAAACGCCCCCCAATCCATTTGGTGTGCCTAACGTTTTCCTCTGCATGTGAAGTTCTGTATGTGACCGCGTAAGAGTGGGCCTTTTGGAATCAGTCTCTGTAGACTTGGGGGCCGGCAGTGTGTCCACAAAGGGAGATTGGAGGATTGGGCCGGGTTTTGTCACCGAATGTTTCGGGGATTTTGGTGTAGCTGGTCCCTCTGGCTGAATCCGCTTTACAGTGACCGGCGTTTGCGGAGCAAAATACAAGCTTGATGGTCTCCTTGCGGTTTGCGGGGTCGCAAAACTTGTATTCCTGCTCGGCACAGTTGAAGTGCTCGGGCAGAAAGACCGCCTACTGTATAACGTTGGTGGCATGGCGAGTGACTCGCGCTTCAGTGGTCTTTCTTGAATTTGCGAGTACCTATTCACAACGTGCCTGTGAACGGGTATGTTTTCTTGCAAGACTGCCCCCTGAACTTTTTGGTATACGATAGGTCTCTTAGATCCGGGCCGTCTTGGAGCCATGAACCCTGCCGACTGCGACGCATGAGGTCCCTTGACAAAATTCGGGGTAGTACGTGACCGCAACGCCTGCGGGTTCTTTGCAGGTGAGCCGTTGCTGGTGGCGAACGTGTGAGCTGATGTAATGTGCTTCATTTGCTGTGATGTGTTGTAGGACGCATGATGTTGAAGATATCGACGAGGACTAGCGCAACGACGTTCAGACAGCGGAGGACTCGGTGTGGGAATTTTTGAAAGTACCGACTCGATTGCGGGCTGAGAAATTGTTGTGAGGGAGGGAAACATGACAGCGCCCTCAATGTCTGTGGCGAACGTATTGGACTCTGTCTTGGCGGGAAGAGGGATGAAGCTCGTCGTGCACGAGCGAGAAAGCGGCTTGCGAGCAATATGAGCATCGGCAATTTTGGGCGAGGCATTGATATCCGCTTGCTTTGTTGAGTCTCCTGCCGAGTCGCCCACAGGCCCGGGCGAAATGGGTTCACGCACCGATGGGATCAGAGCGTCGCATGCGGAGGCAGCAGAAGTAATATCGGTCGCAGAGGGCTCGGTGACAGCCAGTGAGGGCACCCTGGCCTGGCTGCGTCCTGGGGTGATTTTGCGCTGCGAGAGAGGACTCGAAATGAAAGCCAGTCCATGGCTAAGCTTTCTTCGAAACTTGCTGGCGCCATTCTCATGTGGCTCCACTCTCGTCAACTGCTGAGGTGCTGGTTTGTCCCTCCAGCCTACCATTGCTGCTGGTCTTTCTCCGCCAGGGTGCGCCGTCTCCCACTGAGCTCGTATCTGCTGGAATCTCTGTCTATCTGGGTATGTCAGCATGGCTGTAGCGTGGCACGAGGCGTGTGTAGAGAAGAAGCACTTGCCTTTGCCGATCGATATGTCGTTGGCGATGCTGGTGGTTGGAGAGAGTAAACAGAAGGGACGAAAGAGCTACTCGAGCGAGGCAACTGCGATGTCAAGGTAAACAAACGCGCGAGCCGGCACGGCAGGAGCGTCGCCGTTTGCAAACGCCCAATGGCAGTGAAGGCACTACACGCACAACTACATTGCGAAGCGCAACGGAACAAACTGATGGGTATTCAACACTGATAATCATAAACCCGAGACACCATACTATGCAGCCGCTCTTCCCTAATTCCAATGCAATGCCAGCCGCTTACTCCGAGTCGCTGTCAATAACAAAACCCGCCCTCATATTCCGTGCAGCAGGCCGTCGAACCACTGGTACATCATCGTCGTCGTCATCTGTATCCGCGTTTGTCATTGCAACATCAGTGCTCACTGCAACGCTGCTCTGAGGTTTTCTTGGCGTATCAGCGTCGCTGGCTGTTGCCGCGCCAGCGTTCTGTGATGACAGTGGTGTGTCGGTAACATTCTCTTGAACGTCATCTTCGTCATCCAAAACGTCTCCAGCAGCCTCAGACGTCGCTCTACTGCTTGTAGCGTCCTCGGCATCGTCATCACTGTCATCGAATAGCGCCTTTCGCTTTGGTGGGCTCTTCCGCCTCTTGCTCTTCTTTTCCGGTGCGTCTGTTTTTCTCTTCTTTGAGGCAACGGGTTCTACCGTTCCCAATACTAGAGACTTTTTAAAGACATTCATATTTTCCTGGCGGATTGCCTCCTCTCGTGCAAAGAAAGCAGCATCTCTTTCAGCGTCCCAGTCTTCGTCGTCAGAGTCATGCACAAACATGGTACTCAGCGCCTTTGCTTGCTTCTCGATTTCCCTCTTTCTTCGCGCCTCAGCTCTGCGGTCCTTTTCCTCGTCATCAAGCTCGACTGGTGTCCGCTGCCTTCGGCGTCGCTTCAGCTTCTTCCGAGGCTCATCACCTTCTCTCACAGTTGGACCGCCCTGAGCGTACTCTCCGTGGTCTTGGTCTGAGTCGTGGTCGATACCATCGTCGGATTCGTCGTCAAAGTCCACACGCCGAGTCGAGCGGCGCGCTGCAACTGCCCTGCTACGGAGCAGATCCTCTGGTGCTTTGCCATCCTCGTAGGTTGGCGGATCGAATTCAAACTTTCGAATGAGGTCGATAGATTCCTGTAGCTGTGCTGAAGTGAGAGCTGACGGCACAACCCAGGTAGCATCTGGATCATGCTGCTCGCCCAGTCGCTCAAAGCCAACCAGCTTCATTAGCAGTCGCAGCTTGTTGTCTTTGAACATGGCGACACGACGCTCCTCAGTGTCGTGTTTGATTACTACGCAAGGTTAGCCAGCTGATGTGAACAAGTATCGCAGTGTTGCTTACCAATGGACGGAGGCTTTGATGTTTCTGCCTCCTCACTTTCAGCCTCTGCTTCACCCTCGGGGCGCTCCATGTCTGCTGTTAAGATCTTTTGTGCCTCTGCCGCCTCTTCCCACGCCTTTCGCTCTTCAGCCGCTGATGTGAGCACATCCCGGACCCAACGGAGTGCGTCTGATTTGGATTGGTTGACAAGCACGCCAACAGCGACGCCAACTTGCTCATGTGGCTCCATACCAGGCTTGACTTCTAGCTCTGCGGGTGCTCTTGGTGTTTTGACGGGTACCTCGCGATCATATCCATGTTCAAGGAAAAAGAGAGTTGCTGGCATCTTGCTGAACAGCATCTCGACTACAAGCTCTGGTCGCTCTTGCACCTTCTTGACTACTTGCTTGAAGAAGTGCCTGACAAACTCGTCCCATTCCTTGTAGACAGGCGACTCGGGATCAAGGCCCCCAGGACCCTTGATCATCTTGTTGAACAAATGAAGAATGTCGACCCGACACAGGAGAACGCCCAGCTCCATCTTGAAAGCAACCCGGTGGAAGAAGCGGTGGGCGCGCTTCAGCTGCTCGTTGTCTAGGTCGTTGAAGTACTTGGTAAAGGCGACAAAAGTGTTGACGCTGCTCTGGTTTACGAATTTTGCTGAAAACCGGTTGAAGTCGAATTTGCGCTCCGAAACAGTCTTGTGGGCTTGCTGAAGGTCTTCTGTCTCGGAAACCTGGCCCTCTTCTTCTCCATTCTCGCCCTGTTGGTCCGTCTTCTTCTTTTTGATCTTGCGAGCTCTTCGTTTCGACCGAATTTGCATGTCCACGTTCTGCTTTGCATAGCGCTCCAGCATTCGCAAAAAGACGTGAGAAAGCTCCGTGACCGCATCTAGATAGCCAAAGCCCTGGTCTTTGTATGACCTTAGGATTCCGACTATCCGGTCATGTGTTGATTCCTCGTAGAAGATGCGGTTCTGGATGTTTTCGGCAATTTCCTGGTCGTCCTCTAGCGCCGACTCGGACATTTCGTGTACAGTGAGCAAGATTTGGGTGAAGCACTTCATTCCAGCGTTCAAATCTCGCCACGCCTTCTCATCCTGGCTCTTCTGCATGAAGCGGTTGAGCAGGATGAAAGTCTCCTGGTTCATCACCTCGGCCACCAAACCATAGCTCTCATCCTCTGCGGAGAGGACCTCTGGACTCTTTGGGTCAGCAGCCCTCTCCTTCATTGTTCGCCGCCGGGCACATTCTGCTCGCAGGAACCATGAGACTAAGTAAAAGAATTGTCTGGGATGCCGTGTCTCGACGCGTTCAGCTTCACGCTCAATTGCTTTGCGAAGATGCTGGAACAGGGGATTGAAGGACGAGTCGAGGAACTCTTCGACAAAAGCTTTGATGTGTTGTCGAGCGGAGGAGGTTAGTGGTACAGGCAGATCAAACTCCTCCCTCTCCTCGCTGCTATCTTGCTTGCGTCCAGGGCGCCTGGGCTTGTTCCACTTTTTTGTTTCGTCCATCTTTTGCATACTAGCTTGCGCCTTGCCCAGCACGTCCTGTCCAGAAATTGTAGTAACTTTCTCGTCATCCCGCTTTACCCAGATCATTGTACCAAATCGGTTGTGTCGGGTGGGCGCATTGCGTGCGTAGCCTGCGAGCATGGACTTTTCCTTCTGGATCAGGCTCTTAAGTTCATCGGCGTTTTTCGAGTTGAGCTTCTTGTCTTCCATGAACAGCTTCTCGGCATCGATGCCCTTGAGCAGGAAGAATAATATCTCCAGAATAATGACGTCTTGGGAGACAAAATCCTCGCCAATGCTGGATGAAATACTAAGGACAGCCTGGAATATGTCCTGCTCGTGGAACGTATCGATGGTTGCAGACCGGGAGACTTCAGCTTCGTCAATATCCATCGGTACGTTACTTGGGGGTGCGAGCATGGCAATGTTGCGTATAAAGTACAAGGCGATGCGGATAATGCCCTCGTCTCGTGGTGTCCGTTCTCGGAGGGGTACGGCCATGGAAGGGAGGGCGATCTTGACGGCAGTCTGCAGTGTCCTGTCTCTATCAAACTGTAGAATTGCACGCTTGTAGCCCATCTGGGCAAGCTGAATGTAGGGACCATGTCGGTGGTGATTGACAGTCGCTTCGGTCGGGTCGATTTCAAACGGCCATGTCAGAGGTACGAGCAGTTCCACTAGGACCGTCAGCGGGGTTCCAAGAGCAGAGATAGCCTGTCATACATGCAGCGACCGCGATTTTGTGTTTCCAGGAACTCTCTACCACGGTCGGGGATATCTTTGCGAGGATTTCCAGCAAGTCACCCTTGACGAGGTTTGCCTCTGCCATGCACCGGGCGACATCGCGGCGGTTGTGATTGCCGTCTGCAAACTTGAGCCATTTGCGTAGATCCTTGAGGCACAGCAGAGCGTCATGTCCAAGAGCATAAGTGCCATCGTCGCCGATGCCGCCAAGCTAACGCATATTAGCGAACCATTGGGATGAGGGGAGAGGGAAAAACATGCAGCAGAAATCAGACTGTACACATGGGCGCGGACTTCAGGGTTGACGGGTTCCGACGCCCACTCGTCGAGCGTTGTCTGGGCCATTGTCGTGGTGGACGAGGGGAATCAAATGGCCGTGGGGAGTCGCGAGACGCGTCGACGCGTAAATTGATGGGCAAACCATGCAAACCCGCCAAGCCGTAGGGCTGAAGGCCCGGCTTTCCGCCCGCCCGCCAACGTCATGCCTCGGCTGGCTGCCCGCGGTTCCCATCGGCTGGCCGACAGACTTCACATGTTGTAAGTTCAACCTCGACTCTGCCATTCCATTCCATTGCAGCTTGGCCACCACACAAAATGTTTTCCGTAGCCTCAAGACAAGCCGCTCGATGCGCCGCCAGGCACCAATGCCGCGCCTTTAGCTCCACCCCCGCTGTTGGAGCTGCTGCGGAGGTGAAGAAACTGGGTGTAGTGGGAGCAGGTCAAATGGTACGAGTCAAACCACGCAGCTTGGATATATGTATCTAATTGGCATCTCAGGGTCTTGGAATAGCCCTCGTAGCTGCACAAAAGGCTTCGGTGCCCGTACGACTAATCGACACCTCGCAAGCCTCCATCGACAAGGGCCTCAAGTTCGCCGACAAGCTCCTCGAAAAAGATGTCGGCAAAGGGCGAATCTCCAAGGAAGACGCCGCAGCAGCACGAGAGCGCCTCACGTCGAGTACCACGCTGGACGACCTCTCTGACGTCGACTTTGTTATTGAAGCCGTGCCCGAAATCCCAGACCTGAAGCACAAGATCTTCTCGCAACTGGCGCAAATCTGCCCTTCGCACGCCATCCTCGCCACAAACACTTCGTCCATTTCCATCACCAAGATCGCAGCGAGCACTACAACGGACCCGACGGACCTCTCTGCCTCGTCGCGCGTCATCAGCACCCACTTCATGAACCCTGTGCCCGTGCAAAAAGGCGTAGAAATCATCAGCGGTCTGCAAACCTCGCAGGACACCATCGACACGGCCATTGCCTTTTGCGAGAAGATGGGCAAGATCCCGTCCAAATCTGCCGACTCGCCCGGTTTCCTCGCCAACCGCATCCTCATGCCGTACATCAACGAGGCCGTCATCTGCCTGGAAACGGGAGTGGGCGCAAAGGAGGATATTGACAGTATCATGAAGAACGGAACAAACGTGCCCATGGGTCCGCTCCAGCTAGCCGACTTCATCGGCATCGACACCTGTCTGGCCATCATGCAGGTCCTGTACCACGACACGGGCGACTCCAAGTACAGGCCCGCCGTTCTACTCAAGAAGATGGTAGATGCAGGCTGGCTCGGCAAGAAGAGCGGAAAGGGCTTCTACGACTATTAGCATGTAAAAATCAAAACCAAGATTGATGCCAGAAAAAAGAAAATAGAATCCATACAGTGACTAAAAAAAAGTCCCCTATTCAAACCCTCGAAGCCCACCTCCCCGCCCCCCAAAGCTTCTTCCTAAACCACTTCTCGGCATCACTCTCCTCTTCCTCTTCTTCGCCCGAGCGTCTCCCAATCCACCGCTCAATCTCATCTTCATCTCCATCAAGCTCCATCTCACTACTCTGAAGCAGATCCCACACATTCCTCCCCTTGACCTCCCCCCTCTTCCATTTCCCATCCATCACGCCCCTTTTCCCACGGAGCGGAGTAACACGCATCTTGATATGCTTTTCCCACGCTGCCTGCCACACGTGGTTGCGCGCGCGTGGCATGAACAGTGGATTCGTCATGTTAAGCGGTGTTTTGGGCGCGCTGAATTTGAGGTTCAGTGTGAGTTTTCGGACGGGCTTGGTGGGGGTTTGGGATGCTGGTGAGGACGAGGGTGGTGGTGGGGAGAGGGAAGAGGAGGGTGATGGCTTGTTGCGTGGTTGAAGAGAGGTGTCGGGTTCTTCTTCTTCTTCGTCGTTGGTGTCTTCTTCTTCGACTGATGGTGAGAGGCGTTGTGGCTCTGTGGATATTTGATGCCCGGGTGAGTTTGAGGGCTTGGGAGAATCAGTCGCCTCGTCGTTTACCGCTGTCTTGCCGTCTTCCGAAGCCATAGTAGTGTCCCAGTTCTCCTGCAGATGGGTAGATTTCAGCCTCAAATCAATATCATCCGTGTCAAAGACAAAAGGTGATGACATCAAAGCAGACGCGGGGAAAAGAAGCCTTGTTAAAAGCAGTTCAATATCACTACACAGCATATTATCAACCCCCAGCACACGAATTTCAGACATTTCACATTGGCAAAAGTGTGTGCGGTTCCAAAGTTTGGCATGGATTCAAAAAATCGCTACGTATTCTACCAATCCCGTGCTACGTAATCACATCCACCACCAATGGCCCCCACTACCTTCAACCTATAGCATCCTCCTGATTTCCCACCCCTTAGTAATGCACAATCATCTATAGGCTCCAGAATAGCCCAACATCTCACATCTACGCAGACTGACTATACAGCACGCCCTCAGCGTACCTCCCCGTCTTCGCCTTGCACCAGTCCGGCAGGAAATTAGGCAAGCGTTGCTTCTCAAGATGAAGGTCCTCGAGGTCCAGTCCCGAAATGACCATTGCCTCGCGGCCCCTACCGACGCGGCCCCTTTCCGAGGTGGAAAAGGCTTGCCAGGCGAGTTTCTGCGCTGCCTCGCTGTGCGTGACGCTCATGTTGTAGTGGAGCCAGCGTTTCTGCAGGTCGTCTTCCTCGGCGATATCCTGGGCTAGGTTCTGGTATTCGGGTTCTGCCATGTCCTGTATGTTGTTGGGGAAGCCAGCGCTAGATGTGGAGAGAACGGGGAATTGCTTGAGGAGGTTGTCTACGCGCGCGGACTTGTTGATTTGTGGCCTGATGACTTCGGCAGGGGCTTCGCCCGTGTAGTGCCTCAGCAGCTTGCACGGGTAGGCTTCTTTGATTTCCCTGTGGTTCGGAAACGGGTTCTGCAGCTTGGGGGCCCAGCGCTCTGCAGCCGCCTTGCGTACTTTGAGTGTACGCTGCTCTTCCTTGGAGACTTTGCTCTTGGGGATCTGAAGTGTGAGGCGCATGCCACGGGGATTCGAGGGCTTTGGTGGGCTTTTGGGTGGCGTCTGTAGGCCTTCTGCATTGGAAGCTTGTAGCAGTGTTTTCTGTCTCTTCAGAGCATCTGCGCGCTCTGCTGCCCTTGGCCATGGCCGTTTGCGCGTAGAAGTTGGCTTCTCGGAGGAAGAATTGGTGTTTAGAGTGCTCATGGTTGCTTTGAGATCCAGAACTGAAGTCACGGTCTTGGTGTTTGCAGAACTAGAGTATAGAAGTCTTGGTGTTTGCAGCTTAGTCTCTCTAATGTGAGCAAGAATTGGAGATTGTAAAGGTGATAGTGAGACTGTTAGGCGTCACCGCGTTATATACAGTCCCAAGCTACCGCTTTGGCGCTGTACTCGCTTCTGTTTGCAAAACTCCGCTAGCTTACTCACCTATTGGGCAAATGAGAGAGCAGAGGATAGTGAGTGAGCGTTACTGGTGATTTGATAGAACAGTTTCTTGGTGTAATAGATAGCAGTAGTTGAGCCAATTACTCTACCATGGTTGGGGTTGAAACTGACTCTTGTCTTGTCGATGTAATTAGTTTCTAACCAAATATGTTGAGTTGGTAGACAGGTTGTCCTATCAGGAGAGGGATATATGGATTAAAAAGCATATGCCTGAAGCGTTGTTGTTCGACTTAATTTAATTAAAAACAATGTAACTCCGCTATCGCAGTGAATATACACAATGTGAGTGGCTGTTGGCGTTGCAGTGGGCAAGTTACTAATCCAAACTACATCAATTGGCCAGAAATCAAACCAGTAATCTCCTAGCTACGACCTCGATAAGCAGGACTGCAAGCCTATTGGCAGTATTACTCTTCTTCGCTGTCGCTATCATCACTTACTCTCTCGCAGCCACATGGCCACAAATGAGCGACTGCGTACCCTGGAAACCTTTCCACGAACCCGCTGTACCACATTTGCCATTTATTCCAAATCTCTTTCGTTTGGCCAGATGGCACCCCACTTGCAGTTCTACAGAAACTACCACGAAACACTGTAAACTCATCCCACCGCCGACGCTCGCCCGGAGGAATTTGGTGACCATGTCCTGTCAGCCTATCGGGGTCGTTGACAAAGTCTCCGTGGCGGCCATGCCTCCCTTTTTTGAGGAATGGAGCAGGTTGTTGCGGTATATTACTTTGGCTTTGAGTCACTATTAATTTAGTTAGTAAGGCAATGAGCCAACAAGTACTAAAATCATCCAATTACGTACCTGCTGTATCAAAGAAACAACTAGCGCCTGTACGAGGATTCGATGTGGTAGTAACCACCTGATTCTCGCTTTCGCCCCGAATAACAACAGTGGATCTGTCGAGATTGAAGGCATCTATCTCAGTGTCGCCGATGAGCCGTTCTTCTATGCAAACGTCGTCTTTGGCGGCATTTCCTCGATCGATAGTGACTGGGCTTGCTTGATGAAGAGGAAACGGGCTGGCTTGTTCGGTAATGGGCAAGATTTCTTGAGTCTCGGGCTTTCGATCCTTCTTCGTATCCGTTTTTTGCCTCTTCGGCGCTCTCGGTGTGCTAGTCGCTGTTTGTGGCCGTTTCGGCACTCTTGGTATGCTGTTCGCGGTTTGCGGCTTCGTGGAAAAGGAGAAGCCTCCTGTTGCTTTCTGCTTTCCACGCTTGCCCTTGGTCTGCGAAGCCGCAGCCATGGCTTGGGCGACCTCATCGTCGGTGATGATGTTAGTTTTTTGATGCATGATGCTGTGTTGGGTGGTAATGCAGGGGTTGTGTTGGCTATTGTTAGCTGTGTAGATGTGGAAGTGAAGATGGGTGTGAGAGTAAGAGAGGGTGAGGGAGAGAAGAGCGTTGTGCAACGGACGAAGTGAAGAGGGAATCTTGACTTCGCTTGTCTAAGACCTCGTTTACAATGAATGCAGTGAATGCTATGCGGGCCCACTGCAACAGGATAGAATGCATCCAATAAAATCGTTTTGTCATTGCAGTAATAGAGAACTGGGTAGCTTTCATTGGAGGGTAAGAATGCATTTTGGTTTGATCAATATTTGATGCAACGCAACCAAGGTTGAGAACGGGCTGTAGAAGTTGACAAATGGGAAATTCCACCCATGAACCAGGGATACTGTATGTCAGAGAAGAGCTGACTTGAAAACATGGGCGATTTGAATATTCTGGATGCATGGCAGTGAGCAGTGAGGTTCAAAGGCCTGTGGTGATGGACAGGATATTCTGCAGGCTGGTTTGCTGCATTGATGATGTCTCTGGAATAAAAGACAGGCCAAGACCAGTGCGGCGTGTCTTGTCGGGCATGAATCATGGCGCAGAATATGTCGTGGGGCGTGGAATGGCATGGCATGGGAGAGGGAGAGGAGAGACGAGGTCGGAAAAGAGTTATGGCCGTGGCACGTGCGCGGCGCGGAACCGACCGCCGGCGCCCGATGCTTCTGTTGCAGCCGGAGCCGAGGCATTCCAGACTGCAGCTTACGTTTGGATGCGCGACTCTCCACCTTGTTTCCTCATCAACACCAACCGCCGCCTGCGCATGCTCCCGCCGCTGCGCAACGTGTAGCCAACATGGTGCGCGAGGATCTCGTAACGTCGGCCGTGTCCTGTGAGTAACGCCCGCCAATGCTGCACGCGACGATGCTGATATCAAGCCCCCCAGTCCTCCAGGACCCGTCTGTTGCCAGCGCGCCCCTGGAGAAGCGCATAGCCTTCCTCCAGTCCAAGAACCTCACCCAGGAGGAGATTGATGTCTCGCTCGCGCGGGCGGCCGAAGACGCCAGCCAGCCCCCGACTCCGCCGCCCCAGACAGCAGCGGTGGCCACCAACGCATACCGGCCGCCGCCAGCTGCCCCATATGCCAACTACCCGCCCCAGGGCTACTGGCAACCGCCGCCGCCGCCAGAGTACGTGTCACAGCCAGGTAATGGGAATATCAGCTGACCAGCCAGACCCCCGAAACGCGACTGGCGCGACTACTTCATCATGGCCACCGTCATGGGCGGCGTGGGCTACGGGCTCTACTTTACCGCAAAGCGATACGTCCTGCCCCTGATACAACCGCCCACGCAGCCCCAGCTCGAGCAGGACAAGGCTGCCGTCGACGAGGAGTTCAAGCGCGCGTTTGACCTTCTCGAGCAACTCAACACCGACACGGCCGCGCTCAAGGCCTCGGAGGAGGCACGGACAGCAAGACTCGACGATGCGCTGGGCGAGGTGGAGAGCGTCTTGGCGAGCCTCAAGGAGTCGTCCAAAAGACAGGGCGACGACAACAGGCGAATCGAGGACGACGTGCGCGGCCTGCGGGCTTTGATCCCCAAGGCACTCGAGTCGCACAAGGATGCCACGGACAACCGACTCAAGGAGCTCTCCACCGAGCTGAAGAGCCTGAAGACGTTGATGGCAAACAGAATGGGTTCCGGTCCTGCCACACCTCGCCCCCAGACAACCGCGGCCTACTATGGAGTTGGCCAACAGAGTGCACCGCAGACGCCCATCGCCAACGGCACATCTGCTGTTTCGACGCCCACGCCGCAGCCGCCATCCACACCGGCGCCGGCTGAGCAGACCAATGGAACTGCTGCTGCCGACAGCCAAGCAAACAGCACCGTCACACCTGCGGGATCCTACAGCAGCAGGATGCCCACTGGACGAGCTGCGATCCCAGCATGGCAAATGGCTGCTGCAAAGAAGAACGAGAAGTCCAAGAAGGACACGAGTGAGAGTGGCACAGCAGTCGAGGCCAGTGCCAGCTCGTAGAATGCGCGTAGCGGCTTGATTAGATAACGGTTTGCATCTTGGCGTTGTATAATGTACAAGTATTACCTAAGCAGCGATCATGTTGAATGGGATTCTGATTCACGTAATACTTTATGTCGGATATTTCAATCTTATTACCCCTAGAAGTCATGTCTTTGACGGCATCAGTGGCGTTCTTGTGCAGTGACTGTCTTATGTCGTGACGTCGCCATGTCGCGTTTCGCGTCAGAGGGCCCAGCCACGGCAAAACAAAGTCCAAATACGGCTCCCAGCCTCTTTCATCGTCATCGCATTCTCGCAAAATCCACCCTCAATATGCATGATCGATCTCGCCAATCTCGGATCCACAGAAATAACCCCGTCCACCCCTGACGCTAGCCTGGTCTTGACGTCGACGGTCGCACGTTTGGGGAGACTAAATGGTACCTTGCAGCTTAGTTTGCGATCATGACGCAGGGCTAGCAATGCTTAGATTCGCGAAAATCTGGCAGACTATCTTATTCTAAGGCAACCATCGAGATGCTGTGCTTTTGCAGGCGCCCGGCTACAAACAAAGAGACTAATATATGCGCGGTGCTGATTTCACTGACAACAAAAGCATGACGCAGCACTACCGAGTTAAGACCAGTAACGGAATCATACCGACTGCTACGCATCCAGCATAGTTCCCGACAGGATCGACATATCCCTACCACTTGTACTATCCACCATCTCCAAGGCGGCCTGGTCCCTATCGGATTGTTTCCCCAAGCCCATGTTGTCATAGCGATCACAACATGGGCCTTGATCGACCGTCCGAGCGGTCCATTCCATTGTTCCCAACGCTCGTCATACCAAAGGCTTAATACATACGAAAGGCTCTATGACGTATAGTTACTATGGACAAAGTCTACTTAAAGAGACAATCCACTCATACTATTGTCCATCATCACAACAGCCTCTCTTCATCTCGATAACTTCAACAACTTTGACACCCACCAGCCTCCAACACAAACAATCAACTCACCCACCAACATGAGCTCTGAAATCCCCAACGGCAACGCCATGGACAACTCCTACCAGTCCCGCACCGGCCAGTCCGAGATCTCCGTTCAAAAGGACGAGGCCCCTATTGAGGCTACTGAGTACGATAATGGTGGTGACTCCGACCAGCAGCTTGGTGAGTAGTATTTGATTTGGCTGTCAGAATCCTTCTAACCAATTACAGAGCGCGATGAGAAGGAGGCTATTGATAGCAGCAACATTCTTGAGGAGCGCACTCGTGGTGCAACCAAGAAAGCCGGCACGTACACTGAGCCGGGCGATGACGAGGGACTTGGTGCTGCGGCCACTGGCGAGGATGGAACGTCTTCTGGTCGATACTAAGAATCGCCTTTGTATTCACTTGTATTATTACTTAGTTTCGCTATAACTATTATTCCAGTTGACTTGTCCTTCCAACTCTTGCCTCTATGCAAACCACAGTCCCTCAAGATTATTATCTTGTTGCTGCACATTTTGCACTTAATACACGCGCTACGGCTTCTAGGAGTCATTCACGTCAAGTCTATCAATACTACGATCCTGACCATGCTTTCACCCATCACCAACATACACGCCACCCCACTTCCTCTTCACTTTCACCACTTCGCCACGCGCAGGGTCCTCCACCATGGATCCGACGCTATTTTCCGTTTGCTATTCTCTTGCTTTTCCCAGCGTCTAGCACAACCAAACTCAACACCAAAACACACCCGTCGCAAGATAGCCTTGCGACGTCGAGAGCTTGGTACCACAAGCAAGACTCCCCACCGCCACCACCACACCGGTAACGTTTCTGCACCGCTTGCACTGTAGCAAGGCTAACGAGCAGGAAACAAGCCAGCGCCCACCCCCCCCCCCCCACCAAGATGTCGGTTGCTCCAAGGAGCAGCGAGAATGGTAAGCCGACTTTGCCACACTACCCAAATGCCCCTCTACTAAGTCGTCCACAGAGAAGATTGCCCGTGAAAAGGCAATCCAGCAACGCGTCTTCATCTCCGGCCTCAAAGGCACGCACACGCTCGAAAAGGGCGTTGCGTACCACTACCGCGGTCACTTCATCTACTCATACCCCTTTGGCAATCCCATTGTGCCAGTCCCGTTTTCAACCAAGAAGGGCATCAACATTGTTGGTGTCACAAAAGACCATGCGCCAGTCTACGATCCTGAGGATCCATTGCTGAAAGATGAGAGCGAGGTCCTTGCGCTCGATAGGGCGTGCATCCATGAGCAGGAGTTCCAGTGGGAGATGGCGCTGAGCAACTTGCAAGGCGAGGACGACGACGACGACAACGACGACGACGACGACGACGAGTCTGAGCCCGAGACAGTCACTGAGACTGAGGCGGTCATGGAGCCCGTGACAAAGGTAATCGACACTGCCGCCATACCAAAGGTAAACGTACAGAAGCCTTCTCCCCCCACGCCAACTCCACGCACCCCAAGATTCAACACTGTCCTGGTGCCTCCGCAGGTAGCTTCGCGGTTCCCCTCACGCAGCGCCTCGACCATCTCTCTTAACAAGATGTCCGCCCCTGACACCAAGACTTCCACTTCTGCTGCTGGTATCCCGCGAGTCGGCACTGTCACAGCACCTTCAGAGACGCATGAGCACGCGGGCTTCACGCCCAACGACAGAGGCCAGTACCTTGCGTATTCGGCGCCAGGCTCACGCATCGCATCCGCACAGCACAGCCGCGCACCGTCTCGTTCCGCCTCGCCAAACAGCACTCTCAAAGTCCCAGGCCAAGTCCCACGCCGTAGCCATACCCCCGCTCTACGCCCTGTAGCAAGTACCTCGCGCTTGTCCTGGCTCCTCGACGAGGAAAACACACATCGACCGTACACTGCTGCACTCGAAAATACGAGATCCAGACACCAGCAGCAGCTAAACCAGCCTAACACATACAGTGACCCACAAGATGCCCTCCACCTCGCCATAACCCCCAACTGGATCGATCCAGCCGCCATCTCGGCCTTTGTCGAGTCCGTATCGCGTCACCCCTCGCTCTCGTCTTCTTTTCTTGCTCTCCCGCATCCAGGATCGCAGAGCCACAGTCCGCTTCGCGCGACTGCCGACGAAAATGTCCATGTAGGTACCTTGTATCTCGCTGGAACGGGCTACCCTGACATCCAGCGTAAGCGTGAGCATGAGCATGAACAGCAGATGAGCATTCACCATAACCACCACCACCATGTCCCATCTGAGTTCCCAGTGTTCCACTCATCTCCACACGCAGCAGCACCAGCTACCACGGGTCTCCAGCACAGCGGAGCCCTCATTCCCCGACATACCGATACTACTACTACTACTACTGATGCTACTGTACCCGTATCCAACACAAGTGGTATACTGCAACCCGAAGGCAACAACAGCAAAACGCTGTACATACCGCTCTCGAACCGCGCCCGTCCGCGCGCCGCATCCAGAGCGCTGAATCAAGCGTACAATGCTTCCAAGACTCTGTTTTCAGAGTCTGGCACAGCATCCAATGGCATGCTCACGAACACCACTGCTGCTGTGGATTCCGGTGTACATCACCCTCATGACGATGCCAACATCAACATCAACGCCAACATCAACGCCAACATCAACCAAGAAGAAGGAGGAAAAGGAGAAACAGAAACAGAAGCAGAAGCAGAAGAAGCAGCACCACGCTGCCCCCTCCACCAAGGTAAGTGCGACGGCGAATCCGTAGTTGAGCAGCATGTTACTTTGCGTGTGTGGGGGACGCGTCATTTTTGGAATCAGCATTTACCCGTGGTGGAGTGTGAGGGCGGGAGAGTGCTGGTGGACTGGGCGGGGTTGAGGGATGAGGAGGTGGAGAGGCGGAAGAAGCAGAGGGCGGGGGAGTAGAATGGGGAGGTGGAGGTGTGTTCGTGATGAGGGGAGGTGGAGGTGAGGTGAGGTGGGGGGTTACTTGACCTGGGGATTAGTGGAGTGAGAGAGAGAGAGAGAGGGAGAAACCAGCTGGGAGGGTGGGTGAGGCGAGGGTATCTGGTCATGGGCTTGCGAATTGCATGGGTTGACAGATTGTATGCTTGCTACATCAAGCCAAGTCAAACCATGGGTTTGCCTGCTGGAAAATTCAGATATCGAATCGACATGTGCAAGTAGCCAGGGCATACGGGCTAGGATGATAAACGACAAGTGTGTATTAAAGTGGACAAAGTACCGTCTGGGCTAACAAGACTGCGTAGTATATTGCGAATATCTGCAGTCATTCTCTCTCTCTCTGCCTCTCTCTCTCTCTCTCTCAATTCAATGCACCTGGGTATCTTGCACCGTGAACTATACCGACACCCTAACGCCCCCCTACTGCAGCAACAGCATCATGAAAGAATGATGGTTTTGGACAACATGGGTTTACTCGGATGCCTTCTTGCGGCCCCTATAGTTTGTTAGCAGGAGATATGGCTGCAATGCAAGTTGTAGACGTACCTTTTCTGCGGGGCCTTCTTGGGCTTGGCAGCCTCGTCGTCAATCTCACTGTCCTCGGGCTCGGCTTTCTTGGCTGCGGGCTTCCTGCCACGAGCCTTGGGGGCCGGGGCTTCTTCCTCTTCTTCCTCGTCCTTGATGGCAGCCTTCTTGGCCCTGGCCTTCTTAGGTGCTTGGGCCTCTTGCTCGCTGTCATCCGTGTGCTCGGCAGTTTTCTTGCTCTTACCGTTGACGCGAGCCTTCTTTGCAGGGGGAGCACTCTCGTCATTTTCCTCGGATTGCTTCTTGGATGGGCGCCCGCGTTTCTTAGGGGCGGCAGTCGGAGCAGGAACATCTTCATCCTCAACCTTGAGCTTGGCCTTGCTGCCGCGTTTCTTTGGGGCTGGTGCTGGCACATCTTCCTCCTCATCCTCCTCCTTCTTAACCTTGGTGGATCCCTTCTTCTTGGGTTTCTCCTCCTCAGACTCATCGTCATCCTTGCTCTTCTTAGCCTTTTTGCCCTTGGGCTTCTTGACACCGAGACGGTTGAGCTCGGGATCCTGCCATGGTCAGTAGAGATACTCGACATGTCAAAAGTACTTACGCGTGTGCAGTCCTCGTCAGGGATGTGGCCGTTCTCGAGAGCGTACCTGACCTTTTCTTGGAATTCTTCAGGCAGCTCATCGTAGCCGTCCACCATTTCTGTGTCGCCTCCGCAGGTCTCGACCAGGTTTTCAATCTGCTTGGGAGTAACACATCCCCTGCTCCGTCAGTACTCGTTTCTGGATCGACTACTCAAAACTGACCAATGACGGTACTGCCAGCTTGTGTGCTCTTTGATCATGACTTGGACGGCAAAGCGAAACTCGCCTTTCATGATCTTGGTGCCTTCGTCCTTGCATGCCTTGACTTGGCAGCCGGCGCGGTTGTTGGGCGAAACCTCTGGGGATGGGTCAGTTTGGTCCTATTGGGCGCGAGATGGAGGTCGTGCACAGGGTATAGGCCGGTGGAGGCTGCTGCGCTAGAGTTGATTTGGGTACTCACCCACGCGGTATACACCCATGGTCGCGATGGGTTGCTGTGCCGTGCAGGAGACACTGGGCGTTGGAGATTCGGAAAACGCGCGTAGAGGAGGCTCAGTGTGTATGCGGCAGCCGGGCAATTGGATGAATCTGAAGGGAAAAAGGCCGTCGTATGTGTGTCGCGACGTGTCTGCGGCGTGAACGCGTGAGGTCACTTTGGGGCGCTAGCGGCAGGCAGCTGTGGGAGCTCGGGGCAGGGATCCCTGTCGGGCCGGCCGCGTTGGTGCTAGTGCCGTCGGAACTGGAGAGAGCACTTCGTCATGATGCTAGTCGGAAAAAGTCAAGACGATGGCGCCGACACGCAGTCACCCTCACCTCCCCTCCGCCACCCCTCAATGAGCACTGCGCACACATGCTTTCGCAGCGCCCTCACACAGGCATTCCGGACAAACTCCCGTGGCGTCGCTGTGTCGTCTTCGGTGGCCGCCTTCCTCGTTCCGACCCTCGCCAGACGTCCCAAACGCTCCTTTGCAACTGGACAATGCCGTTCAAGCCATGCGCAGCCGTCGGTTGATCTCACCAATCCAAATTCCGGGGACGGAAATGCTTCGCCCAGTCCGCCAAATCCCCACGGGCATAGCACGGCGCGACAATTCGTCCCACCGCAAAAGGCTCGGGGCGATGTAAAGGCATGGCTTGCTGCCATTGAGTCGTTTCTCCCAAGCCACCTGCGGCAGGAGCCGTCGAGTGATGCCGAGATTCCCATAAACTCGCTCAAGCTTGCTCATGTTCTCAACAAAGCCCAGGCTTCGTCGATAGATATCCTCAGCCATCTTGGGCTCGTCGAGGGGCGATGGCAGGCTGTGGTTTGGATGGTCAAGAAACTTACCGAGGACGAACAACACTCCATCAACGCGGCGGTTCAGAGTGAACAGTATGCAAATGTCATGTGGCGGGGGAAGGAGAATCGGAGTATGAAGGACCTGACGGAGAGCCCTCTTTTCCTCCAGCGGAACCTTCCCCTACGGAAACCAAAGCTCACGCTGGACGCGACAACATCAACCCCGGACTCGATCAGATACGAGAATGTCAAAATCAAAAGAGCCTTGGGACAGCTGTGGAGGAGCTTGGGACATATGATATTGGCAGCCGCAGAGCAAGACAATGCTGGGCAGGATGCCATCATGCAGCATGTCTTGCAGGTGATTGCATATTTGCATCACAAGGGATTCATTCCCGACTCGGTCTATACATATCGCCCCCACGAAGACAAGCATGCGTTGCAGCAGCCTCCTACTATCCATATGCTATCGTCGCAAATTCTGACGGCGCTCTCGGATGCGACATGGAAGGCGCACGAGGCTTCTGTCAAGACGGCAAAAGAACGGGCCAACGCGCAGTACTTGTTTGGGCACGAAATACCTGGATCGCGCTACAAGGCACACATCACGGAAGTGGCGCCAGAGCTGTGGCTGGAGCTTGTGCTATGGTCATGTCTACACGGGGGCTGGGTGCTGGATGGGGCTGCGATACTGCAGCAACTCGCAGACAAGCAAGGAGAGCACAGCTGGGCACTGATTAGCTGGCGAGAGATTATGGAAAAGGAACGACAGAGCGCACCAGCGCCGTCGAGATCGTGGAGCCTTCTCCCGATGAACGAGAATGCATCTGCAAGGGCCGAAGACCGGGCACGAACACGCAAGACCATCAGCGGCGAGGTGGTTACGGTGTTTGTGGATGGACTGGTCAACCAGATGCGACTGGGAGTGGGATATCGAGGAGCGGATCCCGAACAGCTGGTTGCCTCGATCAAACGACTAAAGGAGCTTCTCGACGCAAACAACCTGAGCCTTGGATCGATGGCGTGGGACTCGATCATGGCGCGGCTGGTCGAGTCTGGGGGCTTTGTGCCGGAGAAGCGGCCTGAGATGCTGCTGCACATCTTTCAGCTTGCTCCGGGCTTCGGAGCTGAAGTGGGCACAGCCAATGCGCCTAATGCGACAAGTACCGAAATTCCCTACTTTTTCGAGCCGACGACGCTGCCGCTGAGCTTGCTGCACCGGACGATGCGAGCATTCATTAGAAACGGCGACATTGACGGCGCGATGAAGACACTAGCACTGCTTCAAAGACACACGGACGACAACAAGCAAAAGTCTGTGCAGCAGTTTTTTAGTTTCCTCAAGAACCGCCCGCAGCTACGAAAGGATGAGCCTTTTACCAGCAGGCAGCCACCGGTCAGCTTCCCCGCGTTTGACACGAAGCTGCCGGTGAGTCTTCTCGCGCAGCTTCTAGACCTGGCGACCGAATGCAAGCTGTTTGACCTGGGCCGATGGCTGCTCTTTTCAGAAGACTTGGACGGCCCGCTGATAAGCCCGGCGCTGTATGGACACCGCAACATATCGGCATCGATTGTCCGGTTTGGCACTTTGGCCGGGGAAAATGACGTGGTGCTCAAGGTCGTCAAAAAGGCCGCGGCATGGAACGAAAAGCACCAGCAGCAGCGCATGCCGGCCGAGATTTTGATTGCGCTGCTCTGCTGCCAGATGAAGCTCCGGCGATGGGAGGCGGTTGAGGGCATGCAGAAATATGTTGAGGAGACGGCAACGTTTAGGCCGCGGCCGATTATCATATCAACGTTTGTGGCGGAGCTTCTTCGGACGTCGAGCGAGGCTGAAGAGTCGAGAGTGCAGGCCCAAGAGGCGTTTAGCGGGCTGCTGTTTGCGTGGGAACGCATGCTTCTGCAGAACATGCGCGAGGAGCTCAACAGCGCGCTGTGCATCCTGTCGACGGTCGACGACGAGTGGAAGCAGTTTTGCTCGCGCTTCTTGGCGTTTTCGTGGCGCCAAGCCATCAGTCTCTCTACAGACGACTTCAACCGGGTGCTGGGCGGTGTGCTCGACGGGTACGGCAGCGTCCGGGGCAGGGCAACGGTGGAACAGTGGTGCTATCAAGGACCCAAGCAGTTTGAGCCATACAGAGCGCCCGGGGGCCTGGCCAGGATGGCCAAGTACCGTGTGACCAAAGGTGAGCAATACGAGGATCGTCCCGGCGATATTGAGCTTGTCCAGGCATCTGGAGCGCGGGTGGTGCTGCAGGGACGGATCCACGCCAACCGCCAGACGATTTGGGCCATTGTCCGAAAGGTGCAAGAGGAAGTGGTCATCAATCAAGGAGGTGGCGAAGCTCTGGCAGAGGCCGCGCGTACCGAGGTTGTTGATACGGTGCGGTGGGCAGCGCGGGTGCTTTACTGCTTGGGGGTCGACTACGACGACATTGTGGGCGATCTAGGCAGTCTGGCGGAGCTGGCTGGGCTGGAGGGTCGGGCGGCACGTGAGAGGGAATTGGAGGCAGAGGCAGCGTGGTAATGGCATGGCGGTGGTGGTGGTGGTGGTAGAGGGCGCCGTTTTCGGCCGCTTGGGGCTAGCGTACCAGGCTTTTTGAGCTGCAGGCAATTGCGTAATGAGAGGCTTTAGGCACCCGTGGCAGTATGAGTGTGAGTGGATCGTGTGTGTTTAAGCGCGGTGCCGCATTGACTGGATTGGCGGGGGCTGTGACTGGCCTTGGTGGGTGAATGGAGGGGCAGCCCAGTGCCAGTGCCAGTGCCAGTGAGTGGTGATGCGGACTCTCTCTCTCTTTTTTGTCCAAACCCTGGATGTGTTCATGGTGTTTGGGTCTCCACAGCTCGGGCTCCACTTGGGGACCGACGCAAACAAGACTCACACTCAGACCAAGAGTCGGCGACGTTTTGCCACGGGCCAGACCAAGCCGTGGTGGTGTTGCAGTTGTGTGCAGACGGGTCGAGGTGGAGATGGGGTCGAGGCCAACGTGAAAGCAGAAAAGTGGCCTCATGAAAAAGCAAGCTGCGGTACTTGGTGAGGTGAGGCGGGAGGGCAATGGGCCAATGGGAGGCAAGCGCTGCAAGTGTTTAAAGGCGACGGCCGCGGGCCAATGGCGCGGGCAAGTGGGCGCGTTATGACACGTTGAGCATTTGAAGCAGGAGCGAAGCAGAAGTGGAAGCAGCACCAAGAGGAAAGCGGGGCAAGGTAGCCGATGCCACCAATGTTGTGCATGCAAGCCACCCCCACCAGCCAAGGGGGGGGGGGGCAGGGGGCCCGCCCACAACCACTAGGCCTGAAAAAAAATAAAATAAAAAAAATAAGGTCAGCCTCGCACCACACACGCAGAGAGCCATTGAGGGGGAGAGGGAGGGGGTGAAGGAGAAGAAGAAGAAGAAGGAAAAAAAAGTCTGGGGCTGACATTGAGTGAAGGTGTGTTTTTTTTTCCACGCGCCCAATTATACGAATGATGACGATGGCGACGCTGATGATGATGGATGCATGCATGGCTGGAAGCAAGTGCAAGCAAGCAGCAGCAGCAGCAATTGAGGCTCTCGCCGGCTAGTAGCGACGACGAAAGCAACCTCTCACATGGGAGGGCATCACGATAGCTGCCAGTGCTGCTGCAGGCCTCAGACGTGAGATTTGGGTGCAAACTCTAAATGGGGGGGGTGGTCTGGGCTAGGCGAGCCTGTCGTATGTTGGGCGCGCGCGCGCACATCCGCGCATCCATGATGCGACGGCAATGTAGGTGTAGGTAGGTATGTTGGGTGTTGGGTGCTGGGTGCTGGGGGAGGGGGGGGAGAGTGAGGGGGCTACGTCTCCAAGGCCTTCACCGCTTCTTTTCGCCTTGGGGGGCTGCTGCGTGCGTATCGATAGACGCAAGACGCAGACGCAGACGCATCTGGAGGGGCAGAGTGGCAGTGGCAGAAATGGTGCCGGGCGACGTCAAGTGTGCTCCAGGAATATTTTTGGGGAGGGGCAGGCCCGCCGACACTACCATGCGGACATACTAGACGATTGCTTGCCATTGCTAGTGCCGCGCCTATTGCCATGGCTGGTGCGGTGCGTTGCTGTGGATTGCTCTCCTGCTCTGTCTGTCTGTCTGTCTGTAATGTGCTGCTCTGCTGTTTTGCCGCAGGGAGAGTGTCTGCGTTGCTGGCGGCTGCAGCCAATCAGCGCCCGGCATTAGCAGCCTTCAGCCCCGTGTTGCCTCATCGCTGCGCGCGCGTCCACGTTAGTCGCAGTGGGGCCCTTTCGGCGAGAAAACCAAAATTTCCCAGCAGTCTTCCCACAGTGAGAGCGAGGGGCTCGCCAACACCGCCAGAGAGAGAGAGAGAGAGAGAGAGACAGGACAACCAGGCTGCACACACACACACTCACTCACACATTCACACACATGTCCATACACTCACCCCCCAATTCCGGGCCTGACCAGCGTCTCCAGCCTGCCTGGCCGTGGGCGAGCCGACAGCCCATGGAATGGAGTCATGGCTGCAGCCAGCACTAAGCCCGCGCTCGGGCCATGCGATATGTCGCTAGGGCCAAACTAAAAATTAAACATATCCTTTGCCCTCGCCCGCATCTTTTCCCTCCGCACCAGCCCAAAGACGTCAAAGTCCCCCCCAGAAGCTTACCAGGAACACACCCTACCCCCCCCCCATCCCTACACCTGATTTTCGTCGAGACAATGCCCCAGGCACGCGCTGAGCTCTAAACTCCTGGTGCAGCCCCCCGCAACCGGGCTGCATCAGCCCGACAGCTCACGGAATTTTCAATCTCTTCGACGATACCAATCCCCCCCTCCGTTCCCGGACACTGCGTGCAGTCCCCGCTGTGCTCACTCGTCCCACTCAATTGGCAATCGACCCGCCTGCGCTAGAGACTGAAAAAAAATACTTGCCAGCATTGTCCCTTGTTGACTGCTCCACGCCTGCAACATCATCGACGACTCCAAAAGGGCCCCAGCATACTTGTCAGCGCCCTTTGCACCCCTCTCTTCAGTACACCCAAACCTCACACTCGATCATACGCTATCCTCCTGCCACAACCCCCAATCCCCCTCTCTCATTGCGACCTACCTACCGCCACCCGCCCCGCATATCCTCCCCGAACCCTACACCCTTCTATCCCGCTCCACCACCACCATCATCATTTACAAAAAAAAAGAAAAGAAAAGAAAGAATCAAAGAAACTACCTTCTCGACCACATTGCCCACCATGGCGCACCCCACACACACTCGGCCGTCCATGGCCGACTTGGTAGGACATGACCAGGACCGCAGCCCTATGCACAACGCGGCCACAGATGTCCGCCGCAGCCATCAACGGTCCACCTCGCCAGACACGGTATCAGGCAGCACACACCACTCCCAAGGCCGTGGCGGGGATCAGTCGGCTACCGAGGGTGTCGCCGACGATGAAGACGATGAAGAAGACGACAGTAGCACTGCCAAAGATCTAGACTTGGACGATGAGACCGACGACGACGTCCCTGCCCGTCCCTTTCGCTTCACCAGGGGAGGCAAGGGCAAGGGCAAGCAGCCGGCTATCCGTGTCGAGCCTGTCCAAGACGACGAATCCAACGGCGATGACGAGGAGACGGCGTCGCGCGCAACGGAGCCCCCTCTCATTCCCAGCAAGCACCCCGTGAACCAACTACTGATGAGCAATAAGAAGCGCACCTTTAGTAATCTGTCGAGCACATCGGTGCTGTTTGGCGACGACTCGACGGACCAGGAGTCGTTTCCCAGGCGCAAAATGGCCCGCAAGCTGAGTAATGCGACCAGCGTGCCCCTGCTAGCATACATGGAGAATGAAGAGTCGCAGTCAAACTATGACAACGCCATTGAGAGCGACGACGAGGACTACAGTGGCGTCAACCTGGTCCCTGACGACGATGAGTCGGACTTGGAGATGATGGAGAAGCAAGAAGAGAGTTACATTCTGCAAGATGAGCAACAAGCTACTACCCTTCTCAATGAGTATCGTGATGCTCGCAGGCTCAGCCTGGACAGCTGCTTGAGCGACAACATTTTCGATGTCACTGCTCCCTTGGATGATGCTTTCATGGCGGGCCTTCCAGATTTTGGCTTCACCCCCTTCTTTGAGCTTGAGGCTGTCCCTGCGTCGCCCGTCCCCATGGCCAAGAGAAAGTTCTCGGACGGCTCTGCCAAGCGTGTGCGCTTCGATGACGATGTCCAAATGTCTGATAGTTCGAGCTCAGAGTCTTCGGAGCTCGACAGCAGTGTCTTTCCTGATCTGTTCATGGACCAGGACAAGATCCCCCCCAGCCTGCACCAGCTGCTGGAGATGGACAATGATGACGACAACGGAGACATGGCGTCGCCGCAGTCGGACATTTCGTTTTGGGACTTTGAGCAAAACGAGTCTCGCATCACCCAAGTCGATCACTCGGACGACGAGGGCGACGGGTCCTCGAGCGAGTCCAGTGGCTATGAGTGTATGGTAGTGCCCTGCGTTAACTTTGGTCCAATCACTAACGTACATTGCCAGCCGACTTGGGTGACACTACTGACGAAGAAGACTTTGGAAACGATATCCTGCCACGAACTCCCACACAAAAGCAGTCTGTCTTGCACAGGCCGTCTTCGGCGCCCGGCTCGCGCGCCGGCACGCCCAAGCCCTTTCAGCGGAGCGCTCGACCGGTTGGGCGCCAGATCCCACCCACCCGAGGCATCTTCATTCACGACGAAACCGACCAGGCCATTGCTGTCACCAATCGGGCTACCAAGGCCGTTAGCTTCTATCGTCCCCGCACAGTGCTGATTCCATGGATTCCTCTGACCGACTACCAGAGCAGCACGAGCAGCACCGTCAATAACAGTCCTAGGAACTCGATTGCTCAGATGAACGCGTCCGACAGCGAGGTCAGCAACGAAGTCTTCAACAACGGCCTCAGCACAGACATTATGCTCTCTGGTATCTTTGGGTCGGGCCCGAATGACTACATGTTTGGAAACGAAAGCGTCGGTCCTCCCGAGGCTTTCTATCCCTTCGTAAGCATATCCTCCAACGGAAACATGGGCATCGTTGACGAAGACGAGGATGGTTCTTCGAGCGACGACTACGAGGATGACATCAACATTACCGACTTTATGGACTTTGGCTCTGATGCTGATGATACGGATATTGACGATGACGATGTCGAGGACACGGATGTGCCAGCAACTCCAGCAACTTCCACTGTGGCACATGTTGGCTCGACGCCAGCTGCTCCCCAAACCGACACTCCACAGACGCGCAAGAGAACTACATCAGATGTCATGCTGGAGCACTTTGATCGCGGCGTCGTCACCGCCTTCCGCACAAACCAGAGTCGCTACCGCGATGTTGCGTCTCTGCCCTCGGATCCGGCAGCCCGAGCCTCTGTCTCCCGCCCGGTTCGCTCTGGAAAGTCGGCCGAGGCCCTGATCACACCACTGCGCAAGCGTTCGCGCTCAAACCGGGTAGCCAAGTCGCCCTTGAAGAACCACACCTCTATGAACCAGAGTTCGCCCCTGTCGGGCGTCTCAAAGGCTACAGGCCGACTACATGGCTCCGTCATGGGGTCACCGCGTGGACCACCTCGAATGGGGCGATTCTCATAAGGCATTCCTAGACACGGTTGCATTTATAGAGCATCGAGCAAGAGGAGGAAGAGGTTATACCCAGGGAGATTTGCCTACGACGTTTATGATACCCACGGCCTTTATCTTCTAGCCGTTTCCCAACGGCTATGTTGTTAGTACGAACTTGATCATGCTTTGCATGTTTTTCAAAAGTTCCCGAGCCTTTTTAGATGGCCCGGTAAAAGTTGAGGAGGGATACACAGGCTCTAGAACAGAACTGGGCATGCGGTAACGCAAGGGCTTGGTTCGGCTAGTACAGCCTAGTCGCGTCATCACGAATTTCCTTTGTTTGATTCTGAAGCGTTTGTGTTATTACTGGTTTTTTTTTTCCTTTCATCTTCGCTGCCACGTGCTTCCTTGATAGGAGTACCGGGGCTTTTTGGGATGATACCATGTGTTTTCCAACACAACCTCATGGCTTCTTGCTTCCTCCTGGCGTTTGGGTTCTACAGCTTGTCAGGCTGTTGACCTGATGGCGTTGAGGTGACGGCCGCTCACGGTGATCTCCTGTACTATGGCCTTTCTTTCTTTTCTTTCCTTCTTTTCGTCCGTCGTCTTCATCTTCTTCTGTTATTCGGTACGGAGTTCACTAGGACGGGCAACATGTCGTGTAGGATTATCAGCGTCGGTGTTTGGGCTTTATTGGAATGAACTCTTTACATGGATCTTGATGCAGTCGATATGTTGTGAGAGTGATTTCCTGCAAACCAACACAGACTATGAATACAAATGCAATTACCATGATGTAGACTACCATTCCACACGCTATCCTAATCCGACAAACACTCACTGCACATTCATCTGTGTGTCTGTGTCCGTGCTCACCTCACCCCCGGTACTGCGTCCGTGCGCAACCCAACTACTGTACATACGTCACACGTCGGCACGCGATGGCATGTGATAGATCTACATACGCGCTGGAAAGCCCCCATTCCAACACCACACACGTCCGACAGCGGCGGCGGCGATGGACCAAATCAAACAAGATGATGGTGAAAAGGACAGGGAGAGGTCAATTGCGAGCGTTGTTATTGTAAATGACCCAAGAGCCCCTACACAAGACCCAACCCCAAACAGCCCCCCGGCCCAGGGCTCCTAGCACCTTCTTCCCGCCCACACACACCCCACGCCCCCAGAACACGTGCTAACAATGTTCAGGACTCCCTGCTTCTACCTGTTCGCATAGCAACGTCGCCCGCTCTGCTCCGAACGTACCTGCGAACCGCGTTACTCATCATCACATCCACCGTGCTCTTTGGCTTCGCGGTTGTTGCCTATTCCTCCTTTTACTACGCCTACATTCCTGTCCGCGGAATCGTAGTGCCTGTATACCTGCAGTTTGACCACGGGCCTGTATCCTTGTATGGAAATGCAGCAGGGAAGCTGGCGAAATGGCCGTATGGCCTCGCCAACATACCCGGGCTGGTGCATCGGCAAAAGTACGATGTAGTTGTCGAGCTGGATGTCCCAAGGAGTGAGAACAATCTCAATGCAGGCAATTGGATGGTGGGGCTCGAGTTTCGCGGGCCCTCGACAGTCGGCCAGGGCGTAAAGCATCTGCTGGGGTGGGACGAAGAATGGAGTGTCCAGGACCACAGTCAAGGCGGTGTACCTGGTGCAACGGCAGAGAAGGTAGTAACTGAAGGCACGACGAGCGAGACGCCTACGGTACTTGCCCGGAGTAGACGCCCAGTGCTACTTACCTACCGAAGCCGTATCCTCGAAATGATATACCGCCTCACGCGCCTGCCCCTGTACCTCGTGGGCTGGCATACCGAGTCAGAGCATATCGAAATCAGCATGATGGAGTCGGTCATGTTCGAACCGGGCTATCGCAACATACCTTCTTCCCTCCGCCTCGAGCTCCGCTCAAGACTCCCAATCGAAGTCTACCGCGCCAGCGTACATATCAGTGCCCGCCTCGAAGGAATCCGATGGCTCATGTACAGGTATTGGATCACCGGTGCAATCGTAGGCATCCTAGCTTTCTGGACTATGGAAATGTGCGTGTTACTCTTTACATGGGGTCTTTTCACCCTGCTCTTCAGCAACTCCCTCTTCGCACCCGACGACAACAACAACAACAACAACGACGCCCACCCGAAAATCAAGTCTGAAAACGACCACAAGATGCCCAAACTCGAGCCCGCAGAAACAGACCCGGAAACTCCCTACAGCGATACAAGCCGCACTTTTCCCACGCTGCCCTCCCAGCGCCCGCTCTCATACACCTCGTCTTCCCCACCCAAAATCGAACCACACTCGCCTGCCCTCCGCGATATCCCGCTGCGAGAAGATGCCGAGGCTGATGATGAAGATGACGATTTTATCCTGGAAGAGCCTGTGCCTCGAACTGTGGAGAGAGAAGGCGTGTTTACGGATTCGGGCATTGGAACCAGTCTTGAGAGTGGGGTTGAGAGGGGTTTGGCGCGGAGACGCAGTGCGAGGGGGACGGGAACGGGGAGGAATGGGAGTGGTGAGGTGGGGTAGTGAATACTTTTTTTTTCTTCTGGTATCTGATATGTTGGGGTGGGGGTGGATTGGAGGAATTAGAGGAATTGGAGGAAGTAGACGCATATTTGTGGATCTGTGTGGGCGAGTGTTATAGTCATAATGTCGGGATATATCCACTCTACCTTCTGCATGGTGCAGAAGGTTACCCTTTTTGCACCACCCATAACATATGTGGATTTGTAAGTAACCTTTTTTTGGTCTCGTAATATATAGATACGTTCTTCTTAGCCTGACGCGTGTTAGGGGGTCATTTATATTTATGCTTTGATGGATATCACTTAGTCCTTTTTCTTGAATTAGCGAGGGAAGTTTATGGAATGTTTATCGTTTGTCTTTTTTGTGGTTGGAGTGGGTATTGCTGGTTTCTATGTCTCGGTCTTAGTCAGGTAGCTATTTATTTGTTTATCTACCAAGTCCTTGGATGCTGCATATGTACAAAATCGCGTGAAGAATATACTGAATGAGAAAAAAAAGACACCCCCCCCCACACCCTACAACATAGACTTCTTCGCCGCAGACGCCATGCCCATCCTAAACTTCCGCTCTATCCTCTGCTGACCCAGCCTCATATACTCATCCGCCTGCTCATCCGTAATAGGCGTCAATCCCGCCCTCACATCCATATCTTCTCTCGCCAGTGTTTTAGCCCTCACCAACACACCATTCGTAACCACGCTGTCCCGGTCCTGTACCACATGGCGACAAAAGCTCGCGAATTCCTCCCAATGCACCTGCGTCTCGGCAATGCCCTCCAGCAGCATAGCGAAGCAATGCGGCATAGCCTCGAACTCGCGCCACACAACAGGCACATTCTGCGCCACGGCACGCTGCGCCAACACGGCATCCTCATCCCGCAGCATCTCGTGGCCGACGGAGAAGAACAGCGGCGGACTCCCCGTCCAACTCTTCGCTGCCAACGGCGACACAAGCGGATGCAGCAGCGCCCCCGCCTCACAATATAAATCCGCGCGCGGCGGCTCCGCAGGCCACACGCCCTCCTCAACAGGATACTCGTGCGTCGCCAGCGCACTCGGCGCAGGCAGATAGTCAAACGCGACGGCCGACTCAATCGACGGTAGCCCGCGCGTGATATCCAGCCACGGCGACGCCAGCGCCACGCCCGCAGGTAACGGAATACTAACATTTTTCCCGTGAAACCGCACGCGGGGCACTTGTCCCGCCGGTGCCTGTCGATGCAAATGCAACAGCAGCTGCAGCAACGCAGTGCAACACGTGCCGCCCGCCGAGTCGCCCGCAAAAACTATCTCGCTCGCAGCCACAGCCTCATGCAGCGATCCCGCCGGCGGCGCCAACAACGTCAGGTACGCGGTAAACGCATCCAGGAGCGCCGCTGGAAACGCATTCTGCGGCGCCAGCCGGTACCGTACGCTGAAGACCCGGCCCCCGGTTTCGCGTGCTAATCGCCCGGTTGTTGCGCGCGTCGTCGCCGGGTCTAGGAGGTACATTGCGCCGCCGTGGAAATACAGCGTTGTGATCTTGCTTGTTGTTTCTTGCATTAGGCATTCGTACTTCTGCGCTTCGCTCACATCAGCTGGTTCGGGCGTGTTGGCGTCGGCGGCGGAACGGTAGCCCGTCCATTCTGCCGTGAGCGGGTGCGAGCCTATCTTGTGGTCCCAGTGGATGTCGTCGTACGGGTCGTAGGGTTCGCGCATTTCCTGTATGGCGTTGAAAACGGTATTTCGTACGTCATCCTCCCCTTCCTCTTCCCTTTCCCCAGATTCCCCTTTCAACACTCCCACTCCCCCAGGCACGCCAAACCGTACCTTTGCCACCCAAATCCTGCCCCTAACCCCCGGATCCCGACACGTCATCCGCTGCAGCACCGAAATCGGCGTTGGGCCCTTAGTACTATTCCCACCCGGCGCCATCATATTGCGCAGCAGCGTCACTGTAACTTCGGTTTTCAGATCCCATTTCGAACTCGTTGCTGAGAGCGCGAGCGTGTGCCACAGCGCGGTTTTAAGGAGTAAGGGGGTTTTGGGGAGGAGCAGTTTAAGAAGTGTGCTGGGATTGCTGTCCATTTGTCTGGTTTGGTGTGTGGAGGGGCGTATTGCTGGGATGAGGTTCGTCCAGAGAGAGAGAGAGAGAGAGTTCAGCAGGGATGGAGAGAGTGCGAGAGTGTGGACGAGTGTGAATCAATATCAATATCAAGATCAAGATCAAGATGAAGTGTAAAGAGTAAAGAGAAAACTAGATAGTAAAAACTACATTCTCCAAAAAAATTGCAGGCTAAAACACTTAAAACAGCAAAAATAAAAGTCTTGACGTCGCATACTCATCACACTTTCCCACTTGAGAAACTTGCCGAGGCTGTCGCTTGGACCAGCATACATGCACATGCATGCGTGCGCTATGTAGCTAGCTAGTGCGCGTGGGGGTTAGGGGGGGTTAGGGGGGGGGGTGGATATGCATATTATACGGTGAATACGGATTATCATCAAACCTGGTTCTGCGACTGGAGTCTGGGACTGGCACAAGTTACTAGTAGAGCCGAGTAGAGCCGAGTTGGGCAAAAGAGAGTGGAATATACATAACTAGTAGTGTTATATATATATATGTAGCGTGTAAGCAAAGGGGGGGGGGAGGGGGGGCAATGGTGTTCATGTGCACTACGACTAAACAACGACGAGTTGCGAAAAAAAAACAGCATAACACGATATGAGGGAAGCGAACATGATGTAATGGACAGTGCAAGTTAGAAAAGACCCATTTTGCGGACGTCAAAGAAGATCAAAAAGTGGTTAAATGCTAGCCATGTGGTATCTTTTTTTTGTTTTCCAAGTCCCCCCCCTCCCTCCCTCCCTATCCCTCGTCCTGGAAGAAGAAAGAAGAAGAAGACAAAAACGCCTGTTCACACTCAGTCCCCAGTCCCCAGTCTGCAGCCATGTTTAGAACACGCAGCGTTATCATCTGTCAAACCCACAAACCCCTTCCCCCAACCACCGCCACCACCACCACCACCACAAGTTCAAACCAGCTACACTGCAGCAGTCAAAGACAAAGGCTCATCCGATCCGCTATCCGGCTCACCAGCCGAAGTATCATGGTCACTTGTTAACGGCGGACAAGAACTGGGTGTGGAGCTATCAGACGACAGGCCATCGTGAGGAACTACATTGACGATTTCCTCGCCGAAAGAAGAGTCGTCGCGTGGAGACTGCTCGGGGGAGGCTTGGCCGCTGTGTTGGTGTTGGTGCTGGTGGTAGACAAAGTGCTCGGCGTCGGGTGAAGAGTCACCTGGTGAGTGCTCGGTTGAGTCTTTACTGGAAAGAGCGTGTTGGTATGCGTCTTGTTCGACTTCTGTTGAAGAGCCTTCTAGGAATTCCGAGGGTGACTCTTCATTAGGTGAGACGTTGGCATCTGCGTCTTGTGGTTCCTTGGCTGGAGAGTTCGCTGGAGAGTGCTTGGGTGACTCGGATGAATGACCGTGTTGATATGCATCTTGCTCAGCCTCGGAAGACTGTTCAGCCGAAGACTCATAAGACTGCTCAGGTGAAACCCCTCCATGAAACTGCTCAGCTTCAGTTGATGACTCGCGAGATGGCTCCTCGGCTGAAGACTCATAAGACTGCCCAGCCTCATGTGAAGACTCCTGATAAAACTGACCAGTCTCAGTTGAAGATTCGCGAGATTGCTCCTCCGCTGAAGATTCGTGAGACAGCTCAACCTCCATTGAAGACCCATGAGACCACTCATCCTGATGTACGACTACACAAAACTGCCCTCCTTCAGTTGAAGACTCGCCAGACTGCTCAACATCAATTGAAGACTGGCACCACCGCTCCGGAGACTCCCGAGACTGATCCTCCTCAGCCGAAGACTCATGAAACTGCCCGGCTCCGGTGGAGGATTCGCGAGACTGGTCGACTTGAATTGCAGACTCGTACGACCGCTCCTCAGACCCGCGAGACTGATCAACCTCAATCGAGGACTCATAAGATCGCTCCTCAGACTCGCGAGACTGTTCAATCTCAATCTCAGATCCATAAGACCGCTCGGCCCCAGGCTCGCACGACCGCTCAGCCTCCGCTAAATTGGCAGACTGCTCAGTTGACTGCTAGCCATCCAACTCGCCCTCTTCGCTGCCTCTTTCAGTCGCATTGCCGTCTCCCGTGCCGTTAGCAGGTTGACTCTGGTTCGTCGTCTGGACGCCCTCCATACTCCTAGGTGTGTCTCCAAAGTCGATACCATCATCGGGTGTTCTAAGCCCGGCGTACATGCTAGGCTCGCCATCTTTGTCGGGAGTCTTTTCGTATAGATCGGCCATCAGGTTGCATGCTCGGCGGATATCGCGCAGCTGCACATGTTGTATCTCCCACCAGGGCTTGCCCTCGTCGTCACTCAACTCGACCTCGGCCATGCGCGCACCCGCATATAGTGAGGCTGCAGCAATTGTTCTTGACGTGAACAGCAGGCACATTTGCGTCGATGTCGAGTCGGAGAGAAAAGCCCATGCAGAGTTGCGCAGCTTCTTGTTATGTTCAACCCCATAGTACTTCATCATGTCGTACATGGTCTTGTATGGTGATTCGACATTGAGATCAAAGCACAGGGCCTCGAGTAAAACATCCTCGCTGTACAGGATAGTGTCGCGCCATTTCCAAAAGTCTTTTGTTTGCTCATCGACAAGCTTGTTGGGGTCTTTGAGCGCAACTCGGACGCATGATACCACGAGCTCTTTCATCTTGCGACAGTTCTCCTCGACCTTGGTAGCGAGGAATAGCGCGGTTGCGGCGATTTGCTAATCATGTCAGATGTGCTCGGTTGCGTGACTTTAAACTCACATAATGATGCAGCGGTTTGTAACCGGGTCGGGCCTTCAGGCTCATCCGCATCAGATAGCGGTTGAAGAAAACAGCAGCCGTGCTGAGTGTCGTTTGCGGGAGTTTGAGCATCATGCCGACCTGGAGAATGAAGCCTACACCTTTCCGCCTCAGGGTGCGCTCCTCTTCGGCAGGCATGCCATCCGTGATGGACGGGGCTAGAAGTAGCTCTTCCTCGGTGAATATCCACTGCATTTCGGCCTCGACTACAGCGGGAGGCGGCGGTCGCGGAGGCTCACGCTGCGGCGGTACCGCACCGGCAGTGGTCGAGACCATGGCCACAGGCTTGTGAGTAGAGATAAAATGTTGCGCAAGTCGTGGATCAATGTGAAGCGCGCGACGGTGGGAGTTTCGGAGATGGCTGGATAAGGGATGGGACGGATGGCCGAGCGAGCGGTGTAGAGAGCGCAGATGGGGGCTGGACTGAAGAGTTGATAAGACGCGCAGGGTGGCCGCTACCAGAAAGCTGTCGTGGGTGAAGGCGCAGTTGTGGTTGTGGAAGCAGAAGCTCGAGTGCTGCAAGGGCCAGCGGGTCTCTTCCGCGGCGAAGGCAGGGATTAGCGCCAAGCCCAGGCCTCTGGTTCGCCTCTCCTCTCCGCCTGTCCCGAAAGCTTAACGTCTCTCCAGACAGCATGGTGCGAAACACTCTGAGCTAGCTTCAAGGCACATCACTCAAGCAGCGTTTCAAGTCACTCGGAACCCCGACATCAGCATCAGCATCAGCATCAGCAACATGTCAGCACGTAACTGGGAAGCAAAAATTAACTTTTGCAGGATTCATTGTACCCCATCTGTTATACAACCCAGAGCCCAGAACCATTTTCCAGCCGTCATGGCACAAACCGCAAGTACAATTAATAATACTGTAAAGAGCAAACATATGAAAGACGCGGGTAGCCGACCCAGATCATATTCTCCTCCAACCAGAGGCGCCCTGTAATGCTACAAATCATCGAGTTTACGTGGTGTAGAAAGCTTCAAAGAGATAGATGACACCAAAAATGAGGAAGGCAATTGCGCCGCCAAGAGTGACTGTCAAATGTTAGACTTGCCTGAGAAGAGCGTGGGGTTGTCTTACCATTGCGCATGCTAATACGACCAGCGATGGCACGGCCGCCAATGACTGCACCTGCAGTACATAGACCGTGTCCGACTACAGCGCCGGCAGTGACCCACCAATAGTCTGAACCAGCCGCCATGGCGACTGTGGCAATCTGGCTGCGGTCACCCCACTCGCCAAGGAACGTCATAACGAATGTCTGGACCCACGCGGGGCTGAGAAGGAGAGAAAAGAGGTTGTTCACCGCACCCATTGTGCCGGACATGGAGCCGCCTCGTGGCGACGGCATGCGGTCAGGCGAGCTAGAAGGGCTTCGAGCAGGTGCGGGTAGTCGCGAGTTGGATCGTGAGCGTCGTGCACCGCGGCCAGACTCGAGAGCATAGGGAGACATGGAGGCTTTGCGGCGGCCCTGGTGTCGTGCAAGCTGCTCCTTCTCCTCCAATTCCTGCTCCACCTCGCGCATCTCTTCACCGACACCCTCGTCTGGGCTCATGGCGAGGCCTTCCTTGATGAGCTTGAAGCCAAAGACGAGAAACAGCGCGGCGGCCGCAAAATGCGTAAAGCGCTCAGAGAGGAGCGCTGGGACGGCGTGGCCCATGACGGCAGAAAGCACCGTCATGACAACCAGGGCCGAGAAGGCGGCGGAGAAGACAAGCAGGCGCGGGTGTCGCATAGCCATGAGCGCAGCCACGAGGAATGTCTTGTCTCCGATTTCCGAGAAGATGATCATGGTAAAGGCCAGGACACAGGAGTGGAAGGGTTGTACGACGCCCGAGTCGACATCTCCGCCGGCCATCAGCGAGGGTCTCTTGGATGACGACGCAGTTGTATCCAGGGGATCCTTGTTGGAAATCGAGTTGGGGACGGGGTGCGGTATGTCGTGGGGGGTATTAGGGAGGTCGGTGGGTTTCTGCAGATGAATTAGCATCATGTCGTCCTTGTAGCCACGGTTGAGCCTACCTCGAGTCCGCCGGCACCGAGTTTGCGTGTCGAAGTTGCCGACTCGACGGCGCCGCCACTCAACTGCTTCTGGTCTTGCGGGTGAGGAGGCGCCTCCTTGGGCGACTCGGGAACCTGCTCCATCTTTGTGCCCGTCTTTTCCTCATGCGCCGTGCGCTCCTTGTCCTTTGCCGAGATGCCGCCCTCGGTGCCTTTGCTGCCCGTGGCCAGTTTGCGCTCGGGATCCTGCATGACGCTCTTGTCGCCATCCAGCACATTGTCCACCAGGATGGTGCTCGAGGCCTTTGGCTTCTTGGCCGTCCCTAGATCCTCGACGACATTCGGAGCCTTGCTGTGAGACTTGGGCGTGTCGTCGACATAGGGCCCGGCGTGGGGCTTTCCGTCCAGGCCATCAACAGGCGCATCTTTGGTGCCTTTGGCCGTGGTGGACGACGCGAGCGAGTCCGGGAGAGCAGTGGCGTCGGGGTAGGCGGCGGCAGCAGCGCGCAGGGACTTGTCGTCTTTGGTGTCGAGCGGGATGGACGCAGCGAAGACATGGAGAGCGGGCAGGAGAAGCAGCAGGGCCCGCGGACCAGGCTGTCGTAATCTCATGGTGAGGGTAATGGAAGTGCGAGCAGCGATCAATGGGTCGTCGGTGGCAAATGGAAGCGTCCCGGGACACTTGGCGATGATGCAGGGAGCGACGAGAAGAAGAAGAGGTGTTGCGAACGAGCGTGGAGCTGCGAAGGGGGCTGTTGAAGAAACGGAGCCAGAAGAAGCACGCCTTGGCAATTGGGCGGATGCCAGCTGAGTGTCCCTGGGATGGCCTGCAGAGGGTCCACGTATTATATTTGGGTGCATACGCAAGCACTAGTTTAGGGGGGTCGAGGGGAAGGAGAGTTTGTTTTCAGGTTTGTCAGTGGAGCCTGGAGCAGAGCGGAAACCTCCATTGGAATGCCGTAGTGCCGTCTCGACCTCAAACGCCTCGTATGCACGTCTTTCCTCGACCTGCCTGGCCCCTTCCCCGTGCTGCCAGCTGAGCGCCGCCCTAAGCCACGACGGGCTACCGCCGCGCCCGCTTAGTCAGCCGCCGTCGCGCACCTCGCCCCAAGTAAACAAGCTTGGCCTCGACCTCGACTGCACCGCCCGCATCCCTCTTCCCTCTTCCCTCTGTCGCCTCGCTGAGCACCGCCCGTCGCATGCCCCGCCTGCCCAGACAACGCGCCCCTGGAAACTGCTGCAATGGCTGACCGCAGAAGCGTGCGGTCTGCAAGCCGCCGCAACACGCCTACCCCACAACCGCCCTCCAAGCCTCCCGCCCACCTGGGACGCGCATCGCGAGCGCGCAGCTTGCGTAGTGCAAGTCGCGAAGTCGACGGCTTTGTCGAGATCCAGAAGCCCGCCCGCCGAACCACCCGCCAGGCGAGCATCACCAGTGTAAACTATGAAAGTGAGCATGAGACCAAGCAGGCGCGTCGCACAGAGCGCAACCCCGCAAACGACGCGTTGGGAGGTCAGTAGCCATTTTGCGATGCACTAGTCACCCACATGTCCGGCACCAACGCGAACCAATTGCCTACCGCTCGACTCTCCCACGCTGATGAATGTGCACCAGACCTCACCGTTGTAGAAGAAATAGACACGCAGATCGACCTCGACGATGAACGCCCACGCACGCCCGAGCCCACGCACCCCGAAATTCCCGTCTCCTTCCGCTCGCCCGGGGCTGTGTCTGAGATGTCCGGAACCACTGCGATTTCGTCGTTTAGCATGGCTGAGGCCGAGTTCCTGGAATCCAAGTTTATCGTAAAGCACATGCGCAAGCTATGCGACGCGGCCGAGGAGTTCTTGGAGCACATTGCGCCCAGCAGTGCGACTATGCGGGACGACTTGAAAAACATACAGGAGATGCAGAAGCCGGGCTCCGCCTATTCCGAGGACTACCTTGATTACGAGATTGAGCTGCATGTGCATCTGAAGCACTTTAAGAGCGAAGATCACAACTACATTCATGCCCGCGCGCTTCACCGCGCACTCTTTGGCACAAACGAGCAGCCTGTCGCGTCACAAACTGGCCTGGACCTGATACTGTATCTGGCCAACTTGCTCGTCTTTGCAAAGCAAATGATTTATTCCGACCGAGACCACAAAACCATGTGGGATGTGCTGCGACAGCTGGACAATACCTTTCCTGCGCAATTCATGCGTTCACTTCAACTCGATGGACAGCCCTCGGTTACAGGCGAAAGCGCCTTGTACCGAGAGACGTTTGAACTTGCACTGGAGCTGCGCACTCAGCTGGCGATATTGGTGCTGCAAAAATCAGTCGACAACCCCGATTTCAATCCGGATGCCATGGTTAGCGAGATTTTCTTTCGTTCTGAGCTCTCGCAAGCTGTCGATGGCTCTCTCATCCGTGGCTGGAATATTGCGGCACTGGGAGGCGACGACTCTCCACTACCCCAGGAACTTCAAAAGAAAGTCGTGGCGCGCCTGAACAAGATTCGAGAGTTTTTTCCAACGGACAAGGAGTCGCTGGAGCGTGGCGAGCTCATTGACCTGGAAGGATTGCGAAGCAGTTTTCCGTGGGAACCAACCATTCTTCGCCTGCTAGCCTGGGTGCGTCTTCGGCGCAAGGAGTTGCTTTTCCTGATTGAAGAACGTGGCGGAGCAGCAACCATTGCGCGCAACATCAAGCGGTTTTACGAGGAACCATCGTCTATGATTGAACAAGCAGAAGCTTCTATGATGCCCCACGAGTCACCACGGAGGAAGCGGACGTCATTTGGACGAGATAGGCGACGCAGCAGTCGCAAATTTGATCCCAACGCAGCAGTAGATTTTCGTACCATTGATGTGCTCAAGGCAAAGGAACGTGACTCTGTAAATTTGGAAGTGGATTCCCAAGAAGAGCAGGATAGTGAGCCTGTCGAGCAGGCAGCCGAAGAGCAGCCGTCAAAAACCCAATTGCAAGATGACGAGCAACCAGCGGTGGAAGCTGATGAACAGCAAGCAGAAGAGGAGCAAGTTGAGGAACAACAAGTGGCAGTGCAGCCAGCAGAGCAATCAGGAGAAGAGCAAGGGGACAAATCACAAGCAAAAGAGCTTGTTGAGGAAGAGGACGAGGCTGAAGCACCCACCGCGTCTGGCAAGCCACAAAGCTCGGCAGAATTACTCAAAATGATGAAAGCAGTGTCGAAGCCGCAAAAAGAAAATCGACCAGTATCGATATTTGAACGGCAGGCCAATGCGCAGCGTGTCGAGTTTGGAGATGGATTCGACGAGACACAGCCCACGCCTGGGCCGTCAAATACGGACAAAGGAAAGCAGCCTGCAGCTTCATCACGTAAACGATCACGACCCATGGACGACGATTCCGACTCTGATGCATTCGAAAGTGAAGACCGAGGACACCGTGTCCCAGAACGACGACGCAAGGCCCCCGTGGCAAAGAAAGTGCGTATCGACTCTTCATCTAGCGTGCCACCAAGTTACCAGCCTCGACGCCCAACTCAGGAGACCCAACGCCCACCTGAAGCTGAGTCGGAGACTGAACCAGAAGAGTCAGTTTCTGAGACAGAGGCCCCAGACATGACGGAAGAAATCCCCTCGTCCAACTACCAAGCACAACGTCAACTTGCACAGGAAAACCAATCGCTCAACGCATCTACGCATCGCAATGAGCGAAAACCGCGCCGAGGATGGACGCCCGAGGCAGAAGATGCATTGTGCGAATACATGCGCATGTTCCCAGCAAAGTACTCTGCGATTCTGAAATACGACGAAAGCAATGGGAATTTCCTCCAAGGCCGTACCCAAGTCAATCTGAAGGACAAGGTGAGGAACATGGCACTCAACATGATCAAGTAAGCTTCTCAATGTTTCCATGTCAAGGCCATGTGTGGAGGAAGATGGATATGCTAACAAAACGGGTAGGTCTGGAACAGGACTCCGACCAGGCTTTGAGAACATCGTGCATCCAAAGGAGAAGCATGGCATGGCGTTGGTGGCGAGCGGATGGCGCATGCGAGATGACGGCCAATGGGTACGTAGGTGAGTAGGGCATGAGCGAGTGGTTATGTATTTGATGAGCTCTCATGCGGGGGATGTTTGTTGTCTTGTTGTTTTTTTTTATTCTGCTGATTATTCTTGATACCCATGAAGCCCGGCTTGGCGTAGAAATTCCAACATGATGTTTTTTTTGGGGGGGGGGCTCTCCTTTAGGGGGTCTTTCTTTCTCACGACTAAAACAGATAACGTACTACACCAGTGAGGCGGCCAAACCAGTGAGCCGGCCACTTTTTCTTGGCACTGCGAACACCATGTACAAACAATTAAATTACTTAACACTACAAACTAATCCTTCGTATAAGATACTTGCATTAGATTTAGAATCTTCTACTATATCTTTTTGGCACGTACCAGCGTTGTGCCTAGTCTTACCGCAGTTGCCACAGCGCCGTTGACCTAGTTAGGTGTAACGATGTTACAACTTCGCCAAGTATTGAGCCAATCCCAGAGCCGGATCGGAGGAAGTACCTGCCGCCCTTCATCAGCCATTCGCCCGAGGTCGGATCCGAATTCGGACC